GAAAACATCTCGCGCATCTTACTACCCTTCAATATCCGCGTCGCCCACAAACCCATCACCACACTACGTCAGTTACTAACCAACGTTAAAGACAAAGACGAACCGAGGAACAGACAGGGAACGATTTATAAGATCAATTGTTCCGACTGCCAAGCCTCCTACATCGGTGAGACTGGCAGAAACCTCACAACAAGACTGACTGAACACAGACGGGCGACGAGGAAAGGTGATGTCAGCAATCACATTGCTGAACACCATCGACTTACCAACCACAACATTGACTGGGACTCTGCGCAATGCCTAACCTACAGCACTGACTATTTTCAACGACTGACTCTGGAAAGCTGGTTTACTAACTTAGAACAGACTCCCCTAAACAGATGTCAACAACTACCCGCTCCATACAAACGACTCATTCACGACATAAACATCACAAACGACCGAAAAAGAACGACCTAACTTTACCGACAGATCGAAACAGACCAATCACGACCGACTTACGTCACTTGAGTCTTACAGCCAATAACATCACGGCAAAACCAACCGATCATTTCACACGAACTGGAATAAGAACATTCTACTGACAACAATCATTCACTTGACTCTGATGATGACTTCCGCACAGGTTGTCGAAACGTCAGTCACTACCACCGACAACAGTCCTTCTCAGGACTACACTCACCCGAACGATCAGACTACACCTTCGCATGTTACCCCCCGGTTCAAACCACTTACTGCATTATATTCATTCTGTTTAAACTAAAGTGTTTTTGACCAGTCAAGCTGACAAGATTCATGTAAACCAAGATTGTTTTCTCTTTACTGCCTCATTAAATTCGAAATCGAATAATATTTTCTTCAGGTTCACTGCACGTATCTGCCTATGAAGAAGGCGAGGGGTCTTTGCTAATTAGTCACCTTGGCATATCAACGTCTGAAGCTGGTTGGAGAAGTTGCCCTTTCTGTCCAACCAGTGGTAGAGTCAGTGGGAAGCACTTGTTGTTTTCAGGCACAAATGGCGTCAGTTTCATGGCAGAAATGCAACATCAAGGAGGCATTCAATTAGATGAGGCAGTGGAAGTTGTACTGAGAGCAAAGGATTCTTATCCAGCTGTTTATCAGTTTACCCCAACACAAGATATTTCAAGTACACAACTTGACGTGACTGTCACTTCTGAGTCTGATGACGTATCAGCTTACTTAAAAGTATCACGTGACTGTAAGGATGTCAGGGACAACATTGACGTTGTGGACTACAAAGGAGAGTCACTCCGTCTGTCGTTCGCCAAAAAGGGACGGATTACTTTGTCCAAGTTCTCTATTCCGCCACTAACCGCCTCCACTTCCAGTTGGTTCATTGGAATTGCAATCAAGAATGCCTCTGGTGACACACTAAGTGATGCAACAAAGACTGTGACATTAACTTTGAATAGATCATTTGATTACTCATACGATAAACCTCTTTTAGTGTTAGTTCGAATTTGTGGTCTTGTTGGTATTGCGATATCTTTTGTTGCATGGCTTATTTTTAGAGAATGCACCATCTGCTGCACTTATAAAACAACAAATCAAAGTACGAAAACCGCAATAACCTGGTGTGAATTTTGCTTAGCTGTGGTGGCCGTCATATTCAGACACAGCATAAGTCGAGGTCCCAAAAAGTTTTCTTACATCACGTTAATTGTCGTTTGGGTTTTAATGGTGGGTTCATTCCAGTTTGTCTTTGCAGACTGGTTCTTGATGATTAAAGAGGGTGATAGAGATCATTGTTATTATAACGATTTTTGTTATCGAGCAAGTTATATCGATATTCCTCATAATTTAATGGTTAGTAGTGTAGCTTACATCATCCATGGCTTTATTTTAGCTATTAATGTTCTCTGCATGGAGTCACAGGTACTTGCTCAATGCAGGAAACTTGCAAGCTCTGCAAAAAAAAAATAGGGTAGACAGATTAGGGAATGCATACGAAGAAAGGAAAAGGCAATTTGAAAAAAAAGTTAATGAGTTGACAAAAAAGCAGTTGAAAGAGCCAGATTATTCTTTCCTAAATATACCTGACAGAGAGTTACCGAGCCATTTGCTCACGTGTCCCGATATTTCTCTTCATCTCGGAGAAATGTTCGTTCCCAAAGTTGAAACCGATGATCTTGAGGCCCTCTTCGCAGAGGCACTTAAAAAAAAAGTATAGTTTTTCTTTAGGTTACGCTCTTGCCTGGGCTCTGTGCTTTGAGGTAATGTTTTCTGCCATTTATCATCTTTGTCCAGGTAATTTAACATTTCAGTTCGATACAGCCTTTATGTTTGTCATGGCAAGTTTAAGCGTGGAGCTGATGTACAACGGCATTGAAACAAAGCCCTGCACTGAAGTTGTAGACGCAAAGAGGCGCGTGGGAGCAGCAAACTTCTTTCTTTTTTTTTGTGGTTCCTCTATTCACTCTGAATTATCTTGGAACAATGTATCACTCAGAGGCGGGAATGGCCCCAGTAATCAAACTCCTATTTATTTCATGCTTACTTCTTTGGATGATCATTCTAGCGGTGTGGACTGGGTACAAGTTGTGCCCAAAAAAATGCATGGGTTGCTGTATATGTTGCCCGAGCGAGGTGACAGACTCAAAAAAAGCCTATGAAACATACCCTGAGGGCAACGCAGGATGCTGCATTTTGAAATGTGTATTTTGGACTTCTTGCGTAAGTGGTTTCGCTTTAATACCAGGTGCGCTGATTTTCCTTTGGATGCGTGACATAGTGGAATTTACCGACGTTTTTGTATATTTTTGTGTGTCAGAGTGTGCTATTGTCGGGGCCGGATCCTTTCTTGCATCTAGCTGGTTAACGGATTGTTCAAAAGGGTGGTGTGATGTTGGTTTAAAAGTCCTTAGAGTGGTTTTTGGCTTTACAATAGCGGTTGTTATTGGTTATGCATTGTACATTTTCTTAGGAAGAGCAACAACAGATAAGAGTAAGTCTCCTGAAGAATCCCGTGATCTAAACAGGGAATGTGCTTCCTATGCATTTTTTGACGATCATGACCAGTGGCACATTCTATCTTCCTTTGGTTTGTTTATGGGGGCGCTTATGTTGATTCATGTAAGCTATGAATCACCAAATGTTTCTTCTCAATCCCAAAAGACTCCAACTGGAAATCAAAATTGTGGTTTCGATGATCAAGGCGCAGAAGCAAGGCCAGGTCCTAGTGGTACGAACTCAAAAGCACACCCGGGAGACAAAAAGGGGATAAAAGTAAGTAGCTGCCAAGGTCAACTACAATCAGTCATTGTGTTACAAAGCACAACAAACGAGGTTATTCTAAACACGTCAGTACTTTCAAATATGTATTAGACTTGATTGAGGAAACATCATCCTCTTGAAGATTTGTTGAATCAACCAAAGCTAAAAGAGCGTCTTATAGTTTTTTGTTCCCCATATATTAACTTGGAGATAAAATAGCCTCATGATGTAGTTAGAAATGACGTTCACAGTTAAACTTGAAGTACGTTTTAAATTTAGAAGTGTCCCTTCTACAAGTGGCCTACTAGTATGAATTTATTTGACGCGAGTTTATTTTGTCAGTGATTTGGGAAACATCAGTTTTTGTTACCTTTTTCAGTTTTGGTGTGATCGGAGGTTTTCATGATGTATTTTAACGCTATACTCCACTTAATGCGCTTTACCATGACAAGTATATTTATACAGAAAAATTTGACAAAAACATATTTGAAAAATGGTAAAACACCACAGCGTACACTATTAAACAATGGATGCACACGGGAGCCCGGCTGGGAAGCGTAGGAGTCGAACGAGGCGGCAGCTGAGAGCGACCCCAACTACTTGAGTGTTTTGTAACCCTTCCGTGCTTTACTTCAGTGGTTATGTTATATTACATTTTATTAAAAACTGGATCATTGGATAATGCAATTCAAGACTTTTTATTGGCTTAGCCATTATGGTATACCGGCCAATATACCATAATCTACAAATATGGTGAGCGTACGCGTCAGTTTAAAATCAAAAGGGAGCTAAAAAATCCGGTTTCTTTTCACAAAATAATAATTTCTTGAGGGCGTTTTTAATGAAACAATTATTCCACTCGCGCTTGTTGGATATGAGATGATTACAGCCAACTCGGCGCTACGCGCCTCGTTGGCTATCTATCATCTCATATCCAACGCGCACTCGTGGAATAATTATTAAATATACACATCCTATTTTTTGTATATTGAGTGAAATTTTTTTAAGCTATGCATTATTTTCTGTAGGAAGTATAGAATACGATGATAGATTGGTAGACATTTGATTTATTGAGGGCCACAAGTTAATTAGCATTTTGGTTATTAAGTGCTACTCTCTTTAATAAAGGAGTTTACTTACTCATTTTCTATTGGTAACTGATTAAAATGTAAGTCAAATTTGTTGCTCAAATGCTATTACATAGTTTAATCATAAGAATTGTAATTTTCTTGATTGTGTTCGGTTTAAAAATCTTTTTTTTAGTCCACTAATTTACTTGCCAAGTTGTTATCAGACAGTTTTTTATCGGACAGTTCAATAAGCCAATCACATTCAAAGTTGTAGATGAAATAAACCAATGGCAATCGCAGCCAACTTTTACGCCTCCTTTGTCATTTTTTTAATGCAAATTTCCCGTTCTTTCATAACTTGAAAAGTGTGCTTTTTATCGTAGGACTTAGAGTCGTCCAATCGGGTCTGTAATGATACTCGTGATAAACTAATCAGATTCCCGTTACGCGGTCTTACTCGTACGATCACAGACCGAATTGGACTGCACTCGGCCCTATTGCCATTACTATTTAGTTTTTTATTCGAGCATATAGAAAGCTCTGTATCTCTGAAACATGTTATGTATGAAACGAGTGAGATGTATCATTAAGAAAGTATATAATTCTTATATATGAACCGTTTGTGTTTATCTAAAAGTATCAAAATACTCGATTGCTTTTGAATACCAAGTTTCTATGAACCAACGCTCAGATGCCATCTACTACCATCTAGTCAAGTAAACAAGATGGCGTCCTTTATAGAAATATACGACTGCCATGCACATCGGTTAGGGCGGAGAAAAAGGGAAAACAATGAATGATAAGCCACGACAAAAGATGTGAACATTGAAGAGGTATCCAGCGTGCTCAAATTTACACATTGCAAAGCGTTAAGAAATGTAAATAGTTTCTAGTCTAACTATTATATATTTTTATATTAGTCTATGCTTTTCCTTTTTGTTTTATTTTAACTTTTGAGGACTCTTTTGAAAATCACTTATCAATGAAATTGATATCCTCAATACAGATTATTCGCGTATAATGCACGTATCTAATACCGCAGTTCAAAATATATGACCTTCATACAGATTATTGTTATCATTTGTGTTGCTTTTTTCCTTGTGAGAATAGACAACAAATTTTGTTTCGTTATTATTCATCACGAACAAATAACTCTATAAGACCAGGTAGACAATGCAGACCTTACTTCCAAATCATATCCTCTTTAAAACATTCAGGTTCTCACAGAAAAGGCTTTAAAGGCCCATTTTCATCCGAGATCCTTTGCAGTCGTTTGTTTTTGTTTTGGAATCGCGCTATTGTTAAATGGCGAACTCTGATAGTCATTCACAAACACTATTAAAAAGAAAAACAAAGATTTGGTGAAGAACACAGTAAACAAATTTGCAGCTAAATATTTGAGACTGAAAAATCATAAATCGAGTCTGTGTATAAAACTTGTACAAAGCTTACTTGATGTTGAAGGAAATTGTTCGGCTTCAACACTAAATAAAATATAAACAAATAACCAATATTGGCCAAAACTGATTTACTTTACGCATTTCAATTATAGAATAATGACTTGTACAAATGAGATCGCTTACATACATATCTCAGGATCTCAAGTAAAAATCAGTCAAATAATTATTCTCACCTCGAAAAAATCTCCCCGGAGTCTCTAGTTCCATCGTAGGAACAATGCAATAACATTTCTGCAAAAGCACTGTCTGTAGTGTTACCGAAACCCATTGTTGTTTTCCTTGCCCTCCATAAATCATACACAGACTCTCGAAGTCGAATAACCTTTGCCGAGCCGGGCAGACCCGGCCTTCCTCTAGACCGCTTCTTCGGCGGCATCAACTTTTCAAATGACGTTTTTCACCGTCATACAGGTAAGAATTAAAAACTATTTACTGATATGGATACTACGATAGTTTGTTGTTCGCACATGATTTAAGATGGAACTTTGAAAGCCCTAATTAGTAAGATGGAAGAAGATATCAAAGCGATTCCGCAACTTCGAGGAAAATATCTTTTTTTTCATATATGAAAATGATCTGGGCGCGCAAGGCATCTCGGTTGAAAATGGGCCTTTAAGTGGAAAAAAGAGAATGTTAAGTAGTATTCAGCCAGAGGTCTGTCCTTCATATGCCATTATCATACCTTCGAACCCTCGTTAACTGGAACATCCCGCTATGTATAGCTAGTTTTCGTTTCGACCCCTCAGGAAAATTTCTGTCCCGACCTCGAGACCTCGACACAGAACTGTCAAAACGTCGATCACGTTCCTACAGAGCATGTTACTTCTCTGACGCATGCCTCATAAAATCAGACCGCGTGTTTACTTTACTTGTAATGATCATTGTTAGGTTATCGTGATGAATTCAGTTCACTTTGAAGCTCGGCTTTGCCTTTATTCCAGGTTGACTAAAAAGTTCCCTGCCATTGAAAGGATCGTTACACTTCATATCATAAAATATCATATATGGTCATAATTTGAGCTTTAAAATCGCCATAATTTTTTCTGATTCATTAGTTATCACGAGTTGTGCATCCTAAGTTCATACAAACTATCAATAATACAACTGCTTAAAGACCGCAATCGCCATTTCTCGGTTACCGACGATCTAAGGAGTTGGTTATCGTGAGATGTAACTTAAGAATTGTTCTTGAGTCTGGCTCTATGACACATAGGTGGGTCGCTCCATTCATCAGTGGTAAACACCTGCTCACGCCCGTGGCTTTTCAGGGCTGATTTCCTATAAAAGATTTCTATTCACAAGAGATGTTTTCCATTGGGCTGTGGAAATGCGTGGACAGGGTTAGGATCTGACAAAATCATCTCCATTCAAGCACAGTTGATTAAGCTCATGCCTTGGCCAGCATTCATAGGACATGTCCAGAGGCGTACCACTCGCTAAGAAATAATTTGGATATATTAACAAAGTTGAAATGGTAAATTGGCCACCGTAATGATTACAAAAGATATTCCTCTTGCTTGGAGCGTAGTTCTTCGACCAAGAGGAATATCTGCGCCTTTTACGTCAAGCATCTATAGCTGATACATCAAAATTTACATCGATTGATCCAAACCGTCCGAAAACTCGAGGCCGTCCACCTAAGCATTTTCACCCTCTTCTGCAGAAAGAAAAAGAGTTGAAAGCAGTTTTACATCAAGTTCTTCCCGAAAAACTGGCTGAATCGTTGTCTCCCAAGGGTTCCCGACTAGCGCACTTGTATGGATTACCAAAAACTCACAAGCCTACCCTGAGTATGCGTCCNCCAGTATATCACCTTCAAGGACAGGATGTTCGCGAATTTCTTTAGAGAAAACAAGAGCGTCGTCAATGGTGTATTCATTCATCGAGAGAGGCTTGAGCTTTTCCTCCAACCATTTAGCTAACTTATAGTTGTATGTCCCTGAGGCTGACAGAATCGGACGCATACTCAGGGTAGGCTTGTGAGTTTTTGGTAATCCATACAAGTGCGCTAGTCGGGAACCCTTGGGAGACAACGATTCAGCCAGTTTTTCGGGAAGAACTTGATGTAAAACTGCTTTCAACTCATTTATTATCGACAAATGTGATTATTCCTCTACACCAGATACTAAGACAAAATCTGTTGAAACTTTAAGAGTCAGTATTCCTTTCAAAGATCAAATCTCAGTGAACATTGCCAAAAGACAAATGCGCGATCTCAGTTCAAAAATTGGCATTGATGTACAACCAGTCTACACCAGTAAGAAACTTGAGCAGGACCTAAAGCTTAAAGAAATCAAGCCACGCATCTTAAATCAGCATAGTGTTGTTTACTGTTTTAAATGTGATTTGTGTGATTCAAATTACGTCGGATATACGACGCGCCATCTGTTTCAACGCATTGCTGATCATCGATACTCTGCCATTGGTCGCCACCTGAGAGATGCCCATGGGAACATTGACTTACTCAATGAGAGCCAGTTTAGAATGCTTAAAAAATGCGGCACGAAATGGGATTGTCTTGTTTATGAAATGTTGTACATAAGAACAATAAGGCCCAATTTAAACACCCAGAGCGATTCCATTAGGGCTAAACTCTTTGTTTAACTTTTAACGTTTTGTAATTTATTCACCGCTTCATTATATATATGCTCGATTTTATTATTTTAGTTTACTTGATAATGACGTTCTGGAAACGTCGAAACGTCGTGTCATGCTTTATAATATTTTATCGCAGTTTTTCATTGTCAAATGTTTTACCAAATCTTTACAGTCATTATTGTATCCCTCTTTTGGGGAGTCAATAGCTTAATTTGTCGATGAAAATGAATTAAATTTATGCGCCCTAGGAGACAACGTAAACAAAAATCGCCAATTAGGGTCGATCTTTTTTCTTGGAATCTGTTACGAAAAATTGTGGTGCGCGACAGCATGACCTTCTAGAAGCTTCGCGAAAGGTCTTAGTTTGTTTATTTTAGCGTATTGTGCAAGCGTTTCTAAAAGCGGTATATTGTTGTTCCGACAACCCTGAGTTCAGTCTGAGTTCTGTCTGGTCTCCGAACTGGCCGTCCTCTAAGAGACTACCCGCATAACTGGACCCTTGGAAGTTTACAAACACGCCATTAACCCATGGCAATCTGCGGTCTTTCCTTACACTTAGGTAGCACGAAAAGCCATAAAACTCTTGAACAAAAGCTCACCTTTCAAACCGGCAGTCTAAATCCCACAGGGATCAACGAACGCTTTTCATTCCACTAATTTATTCGTGTTTTTCTCGTTGCCATGTTCCCACCAATAAAGTAGCTCTATTTTCTGCCTTTAAAACCACACACAACCCACAATTCGTCTAATCGCTCCGACGAAGGGCTGACGCTCGAAACGTCAGCTTTTGTAATCGTTACGGTGGCCAATTTAACATTTCAACTTTGTTGATATATCCAAATTATTTCGTTACCCCCACCGACGCAGCCCCAAACAGTTTCTTTACGCCATTAACCTCTTTGGTCCATACTGAGAAAAAGAAGTCGAAATTCTTCGGCGGAAATTTCAAGATGCTCCTTCCTGCAATTCTCCTGACTTCAGTGTTAATTTCCACTTCACGTTTCCCATTTGCTGCTCACGCTAAGCTGTCTGCAGACTGCACCTTCCAACAAATAAAATCATGGAAGATTGATCAGAATACTTTGGCCCCACCACTGGGGTTTAGGGGACAGCTTCCTTTTTCAAAAAACCGAAAGAGTCACACTTGTCTGCTGAAGACAAATGATTCAAACCGAATGATCTATTTAGGAGCCAAAAGGAACAAATGGTCAAAAGAAGGTGAGTCAGGATTTTCGTTCTTCTCCATGAAAACTCAGTAGAGGTCTTTTTTTTTTTCGAGCTCACTAGAATATTGTAAAAGTAGCATGCCTATACAGAATCGTTTCTTCTCAGTTACCAAACTTCCTGAGACAGTTCAAGTTAAGTTAAAGGGACCGATCTGCCCAATTGGAACGACCATTTTCCTGATAATGTTAAGCCGCATTGGTCACAGTGTATCGCGGTGAGAAACACGGTATGATTAAGTTTTCATATCTTTAGACGCTTTTGAGCAGAAACTAATGCTTTTATACTCTAGCAGTTATAAACCTTTGCTTTCGCATGGCTCTTCCGAGGATTTTATTAGAGCGATACATGCAAAAAGTACTTAAAGCTATGCGTCAGTAGATGATCATGAATTGTCAAATTAATTGACAATTAATCATCTACTGACGCATTTTAGTTATCGTGATTGTGATTAATCTCTTTTGAGCGCAATTGCAGCAGAACTTAAATCTATCTACTTGGAAGACGTTAACGTAGCAACGCAAAAATTTAAAGGTTTTATTCGAGTGCATGGATGAGAACCAATCTTTGAACAAATTTTGAATAATGCTTCACAGAATAAACATTCCAGACGCACCACGACATCGTCACATTTTGTTGGCATTCCACAATAATTATTCCGTCTAGACTAAAGTCTTTTCACAATTCAAGTGGACAGAATACTTCTAAACTGTTTGTGTTCTTTTTTTAGCACAGCTTTAGTGAATTAAAAATTGATTTTTGTCTACTTTCAGGTTCATTGCACCTATCTGTCTATGAAGAGGTTGAAGGGTCGTTATCAACAAGCCACCTTGGCATATCAACGTCTCAAGCTGGTTGGAAAACTTGCCCTTTCTGTCCAACCATGCGTGAGGTTAGTGAAAAACACTTATTGTTTTCAGGCACAGCTGGCGTCAGTTTCATGGTGGAAATGCAACAAGAGGGAAGCATTCAATTAGATGAACCAGTGGAAGTTAAACTTAGCGCAAAGGATTCTTATCCAGCTGTTTATCAGTTTATCCCGGCAGAGGACATTTCAAGTGCACAACTTGACGTCACTGTCACTTCTGAATCTAAAAATGTACCAGCTTACTTAAAAGTATCACGTGACTGTAAGGATGTCAGGGACAACATTGACGTTGTGGACTACAAAGGAGAGTCAATCCGTCTGTCGTTCACCAAAAAGGGACGAATTACTTTGTCCAAGTTCTCTATTCCGCCACTAACCGCCTCCAACTCCAGTTGGTTCATTGGAATTGCAATCAAGAATGCCTCAGGTGACACGCCAATTGATGCAACAAAGACTGTGACATTAACTTTAAATAGATCATTTGATTACTCATACGCTCATGCTATGTGGGTTTCACAATGCGCGATCTGCATTATTTTGGGTCTTGTTGTATCTTTCTGGGCATGGTGTAATTTTAGAGAAGACTGCTGTCTAAGCCTTTGTCTAACCCGTGAATATTTGTCAGCTATGTTAGCCGTCATATGTACTTATGCTTTTATTCGGGGTCCCAAAACTTACTCTTACATCACATTTATTGTCGGTTCGGTTTTAATGGTGGGTGCATTCCAGTTTGTCTTTGCAGACTGGTATTTAATGATTTATGAGGGAGACAGAGATCACTGTTATTACAACGATTTTTGTTATCGAGTTCGTTATGCTGATATTCCATATAACTTAATTGTCAGCAATCTAGCTTACGTCTTGCACGGCATTATCTTAGCTTTTAATGTCCTTTGCATGGAGTCAGAGGTACTTGCTCAATGTAAGAAACATGCAAGCTCTGCGCAAGAAAATAGCGTCGACATAGTAAGCAATGAACACGAAGAAGGGAAAAGCCAAGTAGACAAATCTATAAACAAAACAACGCAAACAACGGAAGAGGAGGCACTTAAAAAAAAGTATGATTTTTCCTTAGGTTACGCTCTTGCCTGGGCTCTGTGCTTTGAGGGAATGTTTTCTGCACTTTATCATCTTTGTCCAAGTAGGTTTACTTTTCAATTCGATACAGCTTTTATGTTTGTCATTGCAGCTTTAAGTGTTGTTTTACTTTACAATGGCATTGGAATGCAGTCGTGCACCAGAGAAGTTGAGGCAAAAAGGCGTGTTGGGGCGGCCAATCTGTTTCTTTTCTTCTTGGTTCCGTTGTTGATCTTTAATTATTTTGGAACAATGTACCACTCTGAAGCAGGCCTAGATGTAAAACTCCAAATCCCTTTCTTCCTTTTTTTGATTCTATGGTTTCTCATTATAGCATTGTGGGCTGGATCTAAGTTGTTACCTAAACTTTGTTGCAAGTGTCATTGTAAGTGTTGTGAATGCTGTTGTTCATGTTGCACCATAATATTTGTATTTTGTGCATTTGGCTTCGTATTAATACCAGTTTTGCTGATTGTCCTTTGGTCCACAAAAGTAATAGAATTTAGTGACGCTATCCTGTGGTTCTGCGTAGCAGAGAGCTGTATTGCCTCTGTAGGATCTTTCTGTGTTGGTCTTAAGTGTGAGTCGTCATGTTTTTCAAACTCCAAGGATCGTTTCAAGAAACTATGGGATAGAATATGTGATCAGAACTGTTGTTCCAAAGAGGAGTGTTGTTCTTTCTTCAAAGTAACCTGTAAGTTGCTATATACCTGTTCTATACTGGCTCTAAATTGTTTTGCTCTGTGGATTTTCTTTGACCGAGAAACGACAGATAAGAGTAAGTCTCCAGAGAAATCACGTGACCTAAATCAGGAATGTATTTTCCTGGCTTTTTTTGACTGGCATGATGTGTGGCACATTTCCTCCTCTTTTGGTCTCTTAATGGGGGCGCTTATGGTTATACATGTCAGTTATAAATCTCCGAGACTAGTCAGAAGACAAAGCCAAACTGGTGCAGCTAGTGGTGCTTCTGATGAATTGCGACCAGATTCTATTATAATGGACGCGCCGGATAAGCAAGATCTTAAAGAAAATGCACAAAATACACCTTCAAACTATGAAAATGTGCCTCTTAGTTTTGAAAATCCTTGCACCGTATCAAACAGAGATGATGTACGAACCCCTGCTCGCGGATTACAAAATATGACTCAGTCTTTCGAGGAGAGAAACAATCAATGTATTTCAGAAATGAGAAGCTCAAAGAGGTTCGCAAAAAGGCACTGAGGTTACAAAACGGGATTGATTATAGCATCATAACTGAATGACCGAAATTCTCTGACCGTACTGGCAATCTATGCAAATTCATCCTTAATGTAACGCTTCTTTGATTCTGCTAACCGGCCCGGCTTAGCATATACAACTGATCAAGGCTTCCATTTTTCTATCGACAAGAAAACGCTGTACGATGAAAATAATTTCTATCAGTAAAAGACGGAGAGAACGCACAGAATATAAAGACAAGCGTAAAGTTCCGTGACACCAGTATGACAAAAAAGGGAAACCTTGCCACTCAGTATTACATGGCAGTGGTTTTTCTACACATATCTTTTCAAATTCAAACTATCATTATGCTACAGTACCTCTGAGATAAACTATCATGTTATTTACATCAGCTTGATTTGATGTTATATCATAGGACCACCAGTTATTGGGACTCTTCTTAGAGTTACTAACTCGGTTTCTACGATTTATATATATTGTGCTATTTTTTATGAGTTTTTTTCGCTCTGGTCTTAAGTTATTCAGCTGCCTCTTTCTTAGATGATTGGTGCTTCACTAATGTGTCAAATTGCTTTATTAGTCAAGAGTTATTTAGTGTTGTTACGACCAGAATGCGTTTTCACATATCTTTTTTAATAACTCTTTAACTTCCAAGATCTCCTTAGTAGTTCTCCTTACTGTTTGCCATACCATTCTTTTGGTGGTTGCTCTGAGAATCTAGTATTGGATCATTTACTAATCCTCACATTAATAATCACATAATCACACGTGATTAAAGAAAATATCATTGAGCCAATATCATAATTGAGCCAATTGAGCTAATTGAGATCGACATTTTAACGCCGTTCGCTTATGGATTCCAAATTACTATAGTAACTCATCATACCAATTCTTTTAAAATACAATTTGATTTGTTCTTCGTCGTCATATTAGGCTGAATTTTATATCAGTAGGTCTAGCTTACCATAGTTTCTATTGTAAGGGAGTTCTAAAATTGCAATGTCTTTGTAAACACTGTTTAAGATCATAATATCAACGATCAATAAAGACTAGTACATGATAGATGAGTCATTGGCTGTTTACTGTCTTAAGTTTCGTCTCAGATACAGTAATGTGCTGCCCAACGACTCCTACAAACATGATTCGCTGCAGAAAAGATGTAGGTGAGACAAAGAGATCTCGTAGTCTCGGCCCCAGGAGTCTCGGCCTGCAGCTTGAGAGTCTCGAATTATACCATTCGCTTCACCTCCAGTGATAGATATGACTGGACTGAAAAGATTAAGCTTTGAGATTAAAGATGAAGTCAAATTATGCAAATGAAGAGACAGTGACAACACTGAAAACTGAATGTCAAATCCTCCTTTCTTGGAAATCGTGGAAGTTTTCTAGTGGTCGAACAGACTCAAACATACACAAAACCGGAGTCGCTCCCACGATTGTTGAAACAGTATTAATATGCAGCGAAAACGTGTCTAAAGTTCTGAAGTCCTCAATATGCTTTCGACCGCTGTTTTCGTATTAACTTTTTCAATCTCCTTCTCAGTTTTCTCAATCAGTGCTCACGCTAAGCTGTCTGCAGACCGTACCTTCAAACAGATAAAATCCCGAACGACTGGTGTTCAGTACATGTTGACTCTAACACTGAGGTTCAGTGGTCAGTTTCCTTTCTCGAGAAACCTGAATCACACCTGCCTTATGAAGATGGACAATCCCAGCGACTGCTGTATTTGAGAGAGGAAGGAACGCGGAATCGAACAGAGGTAAAACCTGGTTTTTTCATAACCTGATTATAATTTCTCTAGAGATGCGAAATGAATGCTTACTTTTACCGACTCCTTCAGCTTTTACATGAATTACAATTGCTAATCCACTGGTTTGCTTTACCTTTTCCCTTTGTTCCTCTAATTTGGTTTAATCAAGTACACTCACTTTTTGCTACCATCTGTAAGGCGATCTTTCTGTGTAGTACAATCGTAAGAAAAAGGCCCATCTTCTGATCTTGATTTCGCACGAGATTCGTTGTTCTTCGGTTGCACTTTGTTAAAATTATTCATGGGATTAAAAGTGCTATCGGTACTGTGGTACAGATTTTCTTTATCCTGTCGTTAAAGAAGTACAAAGATCTTCTACCTAGTTTAAAGGCTATTTAATTGAATCAGCTTTTGAAGTAGGATACGCATTTCAATTATATTATTTTGTGATATATTTGTTAGGATTCAGGATGACTATTTTTATATAGTGCATTTGGATATTAAGCTAGATTTCACGATTCTAATTTGCATGATTCTTATTTACACTCTAGAAATATCAATAGACCATTTTACAGTTGTGTACTTAGTTGCCAAGCCTTTGATTTGAAGTGAGGCTGAGAGTAACATTGTTGTGATAGAGACCAGTATCTACTTAGCATGATAACAAAGAAATTTGCATTTGAAAAGCAGCAACATCTGTATCATAACAATTAAGGTCACCCTTAGCCTCACTCCTGTTCAAAGGCTTGGCCACCAAGCCCACAACTGTTTATAGGTTTATTGTCATCATTATTGTACCATTGTCATTAGGGGGTGGTCTCTGGAAAAAAAAACAAATAAAAAGCAAAACAGGATAAAACACGAGTGCGAAAGCGAGTATAGATTATTTTTTGACTTCTAGCGAGAAGAGGTGTAGGAAGTAAAATTGACACGACCGAGAGCATCATAGTGGAAATATGGTATCGCCCTCCTTTAAATATTTTTTCTCTTGGCAACCATCAGTGCAGCAAAGTCGTGACTTTCCAACTCTAAAAGTGCACCTGCCAGCATCAACTTTCTTTCTTTATAGGCTCCCCCCTTCAGAGAGTGGTACCAGTGAGTGAAATTGAAAAAAGAGAGAACAATTTCAGTGTGATTTAAATGTAACGTCAGTTTATGGTTCCTCTGTTTCCACAGGATCTTTACATGTATCAGTATACGGAGCCGATTGGTCATCGTCAAGTCATCTTGACATTGCGCCAAGATCAGCGGATGAATGGAACAGTTTACTTTTTTTCTGCCCATCGTCGACATCGACAGATACCATTGGCAAACACTTGGCGTTTTCGGGGACTTCTTGTCTCAGGTATTCTGCAGAAATGTTTCAAGAAAAAGATATCGTATTAGGTAAACCAAAATCTTTCACGTTAAGTTTGCCGGCTGAGCCAATTAAATTTTTCCAGTTCACCCCAGCAGAAGATATTTCAGGGACACAACTTGACGTAACTTCCGCTTCTTCATTTGGTGACATACCAGCTTACCTTAAAGTATCACGTGACTGTAAGGATGTCGAAGACAACATTGACGTTGTGGACTACAAAGGAGAGTCACTCCGTCTGTCGTTCGCCAAAAAGGGACGGATTACTATGTCCAAGTTCTCTTTTCCGTCACTAAACGCCTCCACCTCCAGTTGGTTTATTGGAATAGCAATAAAAAACGCGGACGGCGATACTCATGTCTTTAGTTGAGGTCCCAAACAGTTTCTCTTACATCACATTTATCGTCGGCTCGATTTTAATGGTGGGTTCATTCCAGTTTGTCTTTGCAGACTGGTATTTGATGGTTCAAGAGGGAGACAGATCATTGTTATTACAATGATTTCTGTTATCGAGTGTGTTATGCTGATATTACTCATAACCTAATTGTATGTAGTCTGGCATATCTTTTTTATGGCATTATCTTAGCTTTTAATGGCATTTGTATGGAGTCAAAGGTTTTGGCTCTGAGCAGGAAAAATGCGCCGGAAACAGAAACCAGCCAAGAAAACAGGCACGACTGAAACTGATCTTAATTCCAGAAGGTTACCAAGGCACGTTTTAAAAAGTCCTGACATTTCTGTTCATTTTGAAAAGATGCTTGTTCCCCATGATAATGATAGTGATGACTCGATTGAGATTTCTGAGAAGTGTAAAAATGAATTTAACTTTTCCCTGGATTACGCTCTTTCCTGGGCTCTGTGCTTTGAGGGAATGTTTTCTGCAATTTATCATCTTTGACCAAGTAGGTTTACTTTTCAATTCGATACAGCTTTTATGTTCGTCATTGCAGCTGTAAGTGTTGCTTTACTTTACAATGATATCGAAAGGCAGCCCTGCACCACAGAAGTTGAAGCAAAAAGGCGTGTTGGGGCAGCAAATCTGTTTCATTTCTTCTAGGTTCCGTTGTTGATCTTTAATTATTTTGGAACAATGTATCACTCTGAAGCATGCTTGGACAAAAAACTCCAAATCCCTTTCTTTCTCTTTTTAGTTCTGTGGTTTTTAATTATAGCATTGTGGGCTGGATATAAGTTGTTTACTAAAAAATGCAGAAGCATCTTTTGTTTTGAACGTTACAAGAGTCTCCTTAAAATACAAAAAAAAAAACAACAAAGTAAATTCCGGCGAGTCAAAGCACAGAAAATTGGTTTGTTAGTGATAGGAATGCAATAGTTGATAGAGAAAATCTCATAACAGTGAAGTCAAGTTACAGTACAATACAATGCAAGTTTTCTTAGCCATTCATGAAGAGAAATGTGTTTTATATTACAAAATTATCACAATACTTTAACAGATGGAAAGGGGACCTCCAGAAATCACGGGGCTTGTACGAGGGAAGCCTAAAAGCAAAATGAAAAAAAAACATGCGTATATGTAAGCGATAAGCGTTCATTGGGAACATTTCTTTTGCTAAACCACCAATCTCAGTATTTCTATTGATTTAACAAAACACGTCGAAGACGTCTTTAAAAGATGCAAAAGTTTCAGAATACCTAATGTCTTTGGGTAAGGAATTCCAAATTTTTGGAACTTGAAAAAAATGCAGAAAAATATTCAACGTTAGTTCGACATTGATTAGATCGATAACTACTACAATACACACATGATTCACTTTAGAAACTGTCAATTTTATATCCATTATTATCAGTTGTTATCTTAGAAAACTTAAAATCAAAAAAAGTTAATCCGACTGTTTTGATTTCATATCATACATAATACATTTCGGTAGTTTTCTTAATTGTGATGTGTTTTAATTTCACTACTATTTCACTTCAGAAATTCAAAATCAAAGGTTTATTTGTATTATTCAGTAGTGCATATGTATACTCTGTAATGCCTCAAATCATTTCACTGTATCACTTTATTATTCGTATCCAGATGTACCGCTAATCAAATTAGCGCCGTCATTTATTCATATGTATACCAATGTAATTCTTGTGATCTAGTGTTGCTAGTTATATTTGAAATATGTAGGAAGCTATGAAATAGCCATGATTTTGAAAAACTGTTTCCAAATGATTGAAAGATAGAGCTGATAAAGAATATGCTAGCAATAAATGATTTATGTGTGAAATTTGATTGTATCTGGTCACTGTCATAAGGTCCAAAGCAACAGACCAGTCATTTGAATATTCTCATTGCCTGTTTGCCGGATGATGCATGGGGAGAAGCTAAATCTTTATCAATTTTGAGACTTAAAAACTTAAAGGGGATTAATGATCACTTCGGCTGTCTAGGAGAAAAGACAATATAATTTGATTCGTTATTGTTGCTTATGAACACAATATTTGACAAGATCTCCGCAAAGCCACAGACCTCATTAGACAAAACAATGACAAAAACAAAAGATTGCCATCTGGCTCTGGCTTTGTTTAATATATACACCTTAAGATCAATATACATCTTCTCAATATTATTCCCTATATATTTCCGATGCTACTGACGAGGAGAATCCGTTTAACAATCAAGCGGTTCTAAAGTTGATGATCATGTCCTTTGTTCCCCTGACCTTGGTTTTCTTTTCATTTCTTACTCATCATGATTGGGGGCAAGAGATTAAATTTGTTTAGAAAACCGACGGGGTAAAAAAAATCTGGTACATTTTGGGCCGAGCGTAATTACAGGAGAATCGAACAAGTCCTCGTTCCCTTGAACGGCTGTTGGGAAAATGAGAATTGCGCTTCTCGTGCCCGCGTTGTAGTTAACGGAAGCTTAAGGTAACGAAAGATTGAGGGTCAAGTGAACTGAACTACTCTTTTTCCTTTGAGTTTCCAATAATCTATATGTCGCTTACCTCCATGAGCGAGTGTTAGCTCTCAGGGTCACTGCTTTGTATTAAGTGATATAGATCTATATGAGAGCAAGGCCACGAAACGAACTTGCGAAAGAGGTACAAACCGTAGAAAAGCTTGGTTGTTTATATTATGGCAGTTTGTTAAAATCTTTAATCCTATTGATTTTACTTGTGGTTTACTGCCTGACGTCAAACATGTTTGGACTTTGGCAAGAAAAATAACAAACTTTGTTTTGAGTTCTTTCAATGAAAGCAAAGCAATCACGTAAGATTACTTTAAAGCGGGAAATGTAGTTGAGGTGAATAAAGATATGAAAATTTCACAGTGGATCGTCTATCACATTCAATTCGTGATTAGACTGAAAGGATCTGTAGTAAGATTAATATCATGTTTTCTTTATTCACCAAAAAAAAAACACAACAAACAATCAATATTCTGCAAAAAGATAACTTCCCAAACTTAATACAACCGTTAGTGGACAAAATCCCAGCACAAAACGAAAACAATAAATTGTAAAAATCCCAACCGAGACGGCGCAGAAAAAAAAACCGATTGTCGTGTCTCGTTTGTGAAGTTTTTGATAGAAGCTCTAAGCAGACTCTTCCGTGAATCATTTCGTGACAGCAAAGAACAACTAATATTTAATATACATTTATCTAAAAGAATATTAAACTTAAAGGATGCTATCGTCATTTTCTTTTGTACCAAATTGTTCAAGAGCTCGACTTCTTCCTTCCGTTCCATTTGTACAAACTGATCAGATATCAAAATATAACTCAAAACCGAACTGTTATTTTTGAATTACACTCTGACTCAGAGAATGCCGCATATATTTTACCACAACCATTATGAAATATTTTACAAATTCTGACAGTTATTTTGAGCCAGAAAGTCAGTGACAAAGCAGTCAGATCAAACACTATTTTGGTTGTCTAACTCACTAGACTTTGTTGTGTCTAAATCGTTCTGTTCTCGATCTCCTGTTCCACCGCGACACACTGTGCTTGGTTTCCACTGACATTTCATCAATCTTCTGTAAGCGTCACGAAACTCAGCGATACGAAAGCAATAGATCCAAGGATTCATCGACGAATTGCTTAAAGCCAGAGTCCTCGCCCAGTTATAAGCCGCGCCAAAATTTGCTTCTGCGAAAGCAGAGCGCAGGTAAAGGAGAGGAAACCAACAAATTGTGAAAATAACGACAACTATGGCTATCGTGACTGTCACGCGACGCTCAACCATGTGTTCAGAAGGTGTACTCCTACGTGACTGTCCACGCAACCGCTTGAGAGTGGCCGAACCTTGTTTTCGGACTTTAAAAATGATCAAACTGTAGCACAAAATGATAATCAGATAACAGATACCAACAGCTGCGACTGTGAAATAAGAAGTGCCTTTCTTGCTCACGGTCACACGTAAGATCCCATAGATCACCGGCAAAGTCCACGAGAAAACCAGAGCGATTTTGAATCGTTTTTTGGTGCGGTAGCTTCGAAAATCATGGGGCCGCAGAATCACTAGGCATCGATCAATGCTTATCAGGCAGAGATGAAGAACAGACGCGGAGCACGACATGTTGGCGATCAAACGGAATGCCTGAGAAACAAATTCGTGGCATTCGTCGCGTAACTGCAGACCAAGGAAAGTGGAAAACAACGGTTGACTGAGCGCCGTTACCATCAAATCAGCCACAGCCATGCTTGCTAACCAGTAATTGGAAATGATCTGTAAACTGGCATTCGTGAATACTGTTCCAATCACCAATAAATTACCAATTGTGCCAATAATCATTGATAAGATGTTTACGGACAGTAATCCACTGATATGGCCATCAGACAACTGGCAAGGCTGTGAATCATTTACAGCGTGATCCATTGCGATGATTTCTTGATAACAATGATTACGAAGAAATTCTTCCCCTTGAATTCTAGTACGAACGGTGTACGTTCAACGATGACTGACCCCCAACTGACCGTATTCCAATAACGTAAAAGATATTTACCTAATACTTTAGTAATGAGCATTTCTCTTTCGTCACGTGTAGTGATAGTTTCCGGTATGGCGCCCACTTGGATAACCGGAGTTTACTAATGACAGTTGCGGTCGGGACCTTAAATCCTCGTGTGAATACAATGTAGAACCAAGAACAAAAGCGCGTAACATGTTAGTTCAAATTACAATTTCATGAGATGCGTGACTCGCAAACAACGATGAGTAATATATTCATGCCGTTTCCTGCGGCAATTAATAATTCGAATCTCTTTGATGAGATCACTGGGCGCGTCTATTTAAAATATTAAACTCGTCCACTTTGAGCAAGCGGTCAGGATGTGGCAAAGCCAAGATTGTTTCAAGAACAAGCCTTTGATAAAAGAAATCGAGAAGTGGCTTTCTTTTGAGTACTTCAGTTCCCTTTTGCGTGCAGGTAGTCATTCATAAAATTGCATTAGAGCTGGGTTCACACACCGCCAGCTTAGTTTCCAGTGATGAGCTCCAAATATCATTACTTGCCAAAATGTGATCAGTTTTCTTTCAGAACCCCAGTAATATTTTGTGTACCGGCAAAACCTTTGAAGGTTTACGAGAAGAAAATTCTAGGTACGATTCAAAGTTCTCTGAGGGACTCAAAGAGTGAAGTCCAAGTAATTATGTCACGGAGAGAAGGTCATTAGTCAGTACAAATTTTTTTAAAATATATTTTTTTTCGTCAGGCGTTTTCGCACGCCCTTTTGAATCCCTTAGAAGTCGTTGTTTTCTTTTGTTTTTGTTTTTGTCTTCGATTTACTACTCACCCATTGCTTTCAGACTTCAAAAGACAGTTGTACAGTTGTGAAAATTTCGTAAGAAAAAAAAGAACTTTCCCTAAACCACAGATTGCATCTTCAGTTACCACCCACAACGTGACGCAGACATAGACACACTTTTAAAACGGCATGGTAGCTTGAAATTGTTTGAATCGAATTGTTTTGAAAGCTAATTTCTAACTAAAAATAAAAATCCAGATTAGCGAAAGTTTACTTTGATGGATCTTTAACTCAAATCTGTTTTAAATTACGTTATCTTTTAATGGCTAACAAATTGAAAAGAAAGCCAGACGTCACTAGCGCTATTTTCGTCAGTCTAGATTGTCTAGATTGCACACATCAGAAAGTTGATACACCTGGAATTTGACCGCCGGAGGAGAGGAAGACCTTTGAGTCACACCTTTCAAGTTTCCTTTTAGATTTGCATGTTGAGCTAACGGCTTCAGCATCTAAAAGTTGAACTCGATGGCATTCTCAATCTTACAGAAGGTTTTTTTTAGTTTCTTTGTTACACTTCCCCTGCCCTAAGATAATTATCCATGTTCCAGTCATTAATTTTCTTAATGGTTTTTTGATCCGGCCACTTTGACACAAGCTTAGTACTGGGCTTCATTGTCGATCGATATCATACTGAGTCGTTAAGCCTTGGAATAGAGCTCTTAAGGTTTAGCTCCTTGTAAAGGGGAAAATTAAAAAAAATCTCAGAATTATGTTGGGTTATAACCGGCAGATGAATTATATCTGGCCGCCAAAATAAGTTCAGTCATTGTCCAAATTCATTTGGCTCGCTGTTATTATTATGTGATTTCTTCTTGTATCGAGCTGGCGTGCTCCCCACAAGAAGGAAGTTTGAAACGGACGGCCTATACAGACGAAATACCTCAGCAATGAGTTGTTGATCAACTGATAAATCTTATTGATTTAACTAACCACGCAAATTTACTCTAACAAGTTTTCAACACTTAATACGACTGATGTATATCGGTGCCGAATGTAATCACTTAATTATGCTCTCACTATCGAGTTCCGTTCATTGTTAGGTGGCTCATTTTTCTTTCGTAAAGACGAAAACACGTTTTTTAGTTTTACTGGAGGGTGTGCCAGGCCACAGATCCGGTATTGTGCTTCGTTTTCACCCGTTGTTGGTTCAAAACATTGATCGGAGGTTACAAAATATTGTCTAGTGTGTTCGTGGGTTTTTTTCTCGGCTGACAGTTATAGCAGCTATAAATACTTCAATAATGAGTTGTATTGATCTGAGGTGGATTGGTGTATTGTTCACTGTTGTTGTTGATAAAATGTTCAAGGAGAGAACGCCATGCATCTTATATCTTCATTAATGGCTTTTACGAAAAGCTTCTTACGAATGGTTTATGAGATTTACTCGGTAAAATTTCTAATCTTTCTTCGCCATGTGCGAATCTAATAAACGCAATTTTAAGACGAAGTTTTGAGACCACATACAGAGCATTCTTCACATGATATTGGCGATTTATGGCTGAATTATGGCAAGATGTAAAAACATCTGACTGCGGCCGGTGAAGTAAACGTTAGCCACTTAAGAAATGTCTGGTTCTAATATAAGCAGGTTATTTGAACAATGTATAACAAATTGGTGATTATCAAAGAGGATTGTCACGTCTTCTTCAATGTAGCCAAGGCCGTTTTTTTTTCAAGAATTGAAATGTATTGAATGCCCTTCTTAAAAGAAAAGCGGATTCCTCTTAGTTGATTCTTTGATGACGTCAAAGGAGGGAATGGGGAGAGGAACATGAGCTTGTGACATAACTTGCATGTTTTTGACTGTGATGTGTCGTCATCGGAGTAAAGGCCAAGATTTCTTTCGTCACTGTCTCACCCGTAGCCACGGACTGAATAGCTTTCATATAATCACGTTACGACCAAACATTTAAGGTGGCACTGCAAGCTTTTTAATACTCGAGGAGTTACATTCTGTGGAGGGATAGGAACGGAGCGGGCTGTTAGAGAATCGGACATGTTAAGTCCACGACACCATTCTAGCCTTTTCTTGGCGTTTAAAAAATGGGCTGAGATTGCGGACAAAGTACGGGATGAAACACAAGTTAACCACTCAAAACGTCAGGTCAAGGGGAAATGGAAACACTGAACAGGCATCTGCGAGGAAATGCTACAGCAAATCCGATTAAGAAAATCTTTCGTCGTATTTTTAAAGCCATGTAAGAAATCGAATGTCCTGACCTCGTTTTACCCAATTTTCCAACTACTGCAAAAACCGTTTTTTACTGTATATTGTACCGTTTATATTGTGTATATAATTTTAAATCCCAAAGCCTCATATTATCAAGGTTCACCTTTCCCTCGCTCTACGCTACCCTGTGGGCAAACGGAAGGAAAAAAATCGCGCGAACTCGCGGACTTCCCGGGCGGAAAATGACGTCATAGAAAACATTCTCCCTGAATGAAGTGAGAAGGTGTTAAATAAATTATTTCATGTTACCGTAATTTAGGTGGGTCACGAAAGTGTTAACCAGGCGCTATTTATAAGTGTAACTCAAGTCACCTTTCCCTGTACTACGGTATTTTCACAATTCGCATATATATTGCATTCCTTTATTTTAACAGAAATCATCCTTTTTTATTGGACTATCTTTTAATAAACAACAATGGCTTTCAGCCGAGAATCTAATAATTTGATAATAATTAATTTGAATTTAATAATTTGATGACTTTTCTCATTTTGCGATATTTCACCCTCTTCATCGCAATACTTTCAAACGACAGTGATCAAAGACAGAAATTGGTCCCGGCTCACAACGACGAATACCTTTGGGCCTTTCTCGCTACCTTTTTGATTGAGGCCCTGGGGCGGATCCAGGATTTAGTCAAGAGGGGTTCGGAGAATTGTCCGAGGGCATGCTCCCCCGGAAGATTTTGAAAATTAGGTCTTCGGAAACATGATTTCTAGCATTTTAAGGGATAATTTAGGGGGTTCTACCGAACCACCCCTGGATCCGCCTCAGAGGCCCTCGACCATAAATACAAATCCGAGACTTTGATAAGTGATGGGCTCCTGATAACCCTGAGATGAATGCGAGACTTGGACAAAAGAATTAGCGATACCAATAATTCAACAAGGTGACATTCACTAACTATAAATATCAATCTTCCGGAATCTACGCCGGAATAATTCACCGGTAATCAAGCCAGTCAACGCCAGCTAAACCTCTTGAATCGTGTCAAAATTCAAGAACGGATTCAGTCAGTTCCGGGAACACCTGAACAGACGTTAGATAATTTGCCAACATTCTTTCACCTGGAAGTTAGAGAATTATAATTATGATTATGTACGAGCAGGTTTTGTTTTGGAAGTCTGTCGAGCACAAATGAACGAGAAATGACCGTCCGAGAAGGTGAACTTTCTTCTCTATTCCCCTCTTCCTATCGAAGTGCTTGATAAAAACCGAGAACGCCGCTAGTTATCATACCGGACGGAGACTGTTCAGTTTGTGTTCTTTACGTGTCAGTAAAAATCGTTACCAGTCGAAGGTCTGGAAGTGAATTGTCCATTTGGAACAAAACGTGGAATTGACAGAAAACTTAATGCGATGTTCCTTTACCCGGCACAGGGGCAATTATCGGCAAAAATAAAGACATAAGAAATCCGCTAATTTTGTATCCCTCTTGAGGCAGTGCAGTGACAAGTAGATTGCTCGAGTTAATAACCGCTATCGAGAGAATGTTTAATCAGTGGGAACTAAATTACAGCCGGAAATTTAAACTTTGAACAAAACACACGCAATCGACCCGGGAGTGTTCGTTGCATATGTGGAAAGAAAAACATGGATTTATTTCCATCACCAACTTTTTATTCTTTTTTTCTAAATGTCAAAGCTGAAATTTTCTTCCCCAGCAAGACATCTGTCGTATTACTTGTTGCTAAAAATTCAAAGTTTCCGAAGTTCTATTTTAATAGTCTGAACCCTTGGCCTGTCTTTACTAACTACCGTAGTTTATACTTTGATAATGCGATTTACACCCCTGGTTTCAAATGTGCTTAATCCTAACACCTGTATCAGCGGCTATGCGCCATTCATGCGATGCATTGTCGATTCACGGAGTCATGGATAACACAGCTCTGAGTTGAGTGCAAACCTAGTACGGGAGAGGGTGGGGGATGGAAAAATGTTTTTGAACGAAACACGGCTTGTCGCCTTATAACCTAGCTAGAGTAGTTTAGTTCTTTCTCCCCAAGTTCCATCAAGCCCCTCAAAGAGTGAAAGGATATTCCGTGTTTTCGATAACAATGGCCTTTGTGAAGCTGCGCCCCCTGTGAGGGAAATTCTGTGGCTTCACACAAATAAGAAAAGGAAGTGGAAGATAATTCCCTGTTAATGTATTAACAGCCTGTGATGTTTTCCCGTAACACAGTTCATTACCTTTATAATGGGTTTTGAAAAGGAATTAATGTTGAAGGGGTAGAATTTTTCGGTGGAGGGTAAACGAAAGGGAAATACAGTCAAACTGGGAATGACGAGATGACCGTTCAGTAGAGGTTCAACAGAATAGAGGTTAAAAACGATAAGAAACGCAATTTTATGTCGTAATTGACCAATCATGTACAAGAGCACCCTTAAAAAAAAAAAAAAAGAACTATTACCATTGGTTTCGGGAGAGAAACATGGATTAAATTTTACTTGAAAGATTATTCTTAGTTTCGTTGGAGTGGTTCCACTTTAAGTGACCGTTCAATATAAAGGTGGAAGAAAATTCAAACGGGCCTTTGGGACTCACTCAAAGGTGACAACGTCCGCTTCAATGGAGGTGACTGCTATAAGTAGACTGAGATGAAAACAAATTCGGGACCTTGACAACCGACCGCTTATTACGGTGCGGCTTAATGCAGGGTTGACTGTATAGAGGAACTGTAGAGGAACTGTTGACAGTGGAATATCTCACTTTAATCTAACCCTAACACTAAAAATTACAGGATTACACCATTTAGCTAAGAAACCAGTTTCTTAAGATCTTCGATCCATTGGCTGACTGGCCTTATAGACTTGCACTTGGTGTAAACTTGAGCGCCCATTTTCTTTAAGATCGGAAGATCGAATGTTAAAAGCTCGTCCGCGTCCTTCAGACTGTTCATGCGCACAATCACCCAAACCTGTAGGAATTAAGTTTGATAACGTAAATTTAGAGGTGACTTAACACTTTATGGTTATGGGAGAGGCTTGAAAGAAAACAGGAGCATGGGGGGAAACGAGATTAGTCCCTATGTTTTTCCACTGGGGGAAAGGAGAAAAGGCAGCCGGGGAAGTCGCCCTAATAGAAAACGGTCTAAGTAAGTCTGTTCCAACACTGAGCACATACAGGACGAGCTAATTTTATAACATAACCAAAGCAAAGCGCGCGCTCTGATTGGTCAATTTAGCGTCCCCCATTTTCCCATGGGTATACGCTGCTGACGTGAGCAAATGCTTGTTTTTTTCTGGTCACGAAAGATTTGTTAAATAAAAGGGAACTCTTTAGCTACAATGTATCAATGTCATGTTATAAAACAACTGGTAAACACCACAGCGTACACTATTGAGTTATGGATGCACTTGGGAGGTTTGTTAAGCACTCAAGAAGCTAGAGTCGCTCTCGCCTATCACCTCGAGCGACTCTCACGCTTCTTTTGTGCTTAGCAACCTCTCAAGTGCATCCACAACTCAATAGTGTATGCTGTGGAGTTTACCATTTGTTAAATAACGGGATGGGAGAAAGAGACTTTAAAGAAGATAATGTATGCGACGAAATCGTGATATATATACCGTTCAGCAAGCATTCGGCTCCGATTGTAAAGTAAACTGAAATAATTGACTCCCTGATTGTCTTCAAAATCTCAAGGCGAGGGACCATTTGATGAAGGGTCGACTCAAAAGGGACCGACTCACAAACAATCGCTGACATCACTCTAATGATGACTCCCACATTGGTCGTCAAAACTGTAATCTAATGAATGACAGGATGACGGTTCAATTTTATACATGCATGACTGTATCCTGCTGTACGGACTGGGAGTTGTTGTTCAAAAACATGCACTTCATGTAACCGGAAAACTCTCCCGGAGAAAGAAACCAAAACACGACTTTATTTAGTCGCTTTGATGATTTTGCAAGATATTGATTTACATCATTCCGCAGAACAGAAGGCAGGAAGAAACTTGCCATGATAAGGAGTGATCTTGGATGAGTTTCATTCCTAATTAAGATCTTAACCTGAGTACCTAAGAATGGAACTTTGAAACCCAAAAATTGGGAAGGCGCTCAAACCTTACTACCTGTCGACGTAATTCATTAAGTTTTTTAGGCAACATTGCACCTTTTCAGTGCTGTTCATACGGTGATTCAGCTCAAAGACGAAAAGAAGCACCCTTTGAGTCGTTTTGTTGTCAGGGAGTTCTTCCTAAAAGATTAAGATTTTTAGTCATGGATACAAGCATACTGATAGAAAAAAACAAATAGAAGGTGGAGGAAATCTGAGTCCAGTCAAACGGATATGGACGTTTGACCCTTCGAGAGATTCTCTGCCACTGAGGCTCTGCAAGATTCGGGGTGGCGAGGTTTATATGAAAGTGTTCTGCCCACCGTTGGACATCAAATTAAATTCGAGGTTTTCGTGAAACCGACTGGAAATTAACTTTGTAACATTTAACGACTGCTTCTTACCTGTCGTTCTGCCACCACTTTCCATAAGTCCACGATATTCCCTAGTTTCTTTGCTTTTATAGCAGCTATCGCTTCGTCAGTCCAAGTATTGCAAAGATCCAATTGAGTTATGCCTAGTTCAGAGACAAAAAGACAGTCATAAGATTGTACATTCGACGGACAAAGCCTTTTCTATGACATGTAAACTGTTGTGAAGGAAATTGGTGGTGTGACTCATGGGTTGAAGTACGCGCATGCGCATTTCTCTGAGAGCATCATTTTCCTATGGGAGAACATGACGTGGGAAAACCAGGAGCACGCCGAGGAACACTGAATAAAAGTTCACCAGTCTTTGTTTTACAGTTTAATTACAAACGTCCAATGTAATAGTTATCGTAAAAAACGGCTTTGCATATATTAACGTACGAAAACTGGAAAAACTTTCGGATTTTTTAAACAAATTTGCGTAACATTCTCAGTACATTTGAGTATATTTTCAAACAGTTTAGACCATGTTGTGGACTGCCTTGATTCTTCTTCTGACGAAGATAACATGTACATCGCTTGGCTGGTTGCTTAGGTACATGGACGATAATATAGAAGAGAATATAAAAGAGATGGACAAAACACCATGAACAGAGAAGCCACTCTACTGGCGTTATATGAATTTTCTTGGAACGCCCTCAAGTACGTTTCGTGACACGTGACCGGCCAAATATTGAATTGGCCACAAACAGACTGATGAAGAGAGAAGGATGATAATTCTTGATATATTAGGGACATACCCATGTATTCGACTCGAGACCACAGGAAGTAATACAATCCTTCTTTTGTCACGCTATCCACATGAGTAGCGTCCAGGCTCCGATTACACCTCTCGGCAACAGTTCCAGCGAAATCCTCATAGGGTCTGAAAGGTTTCACCTCAGTGGTGATGCGAATATCCTCTGTTTGCTGCTTTAACAGAGTCGCAAAGCAAATGTCCAGTTGTCCTGGTGTCTCCACACTGAGCACTGACATTATACAACATACAAAATAGCAAGTTAGATTCGAAAAGCATAAAATTTTAATCTTAAGCAACGTACAGGAAGAACCGCCGGAAAGCGGAGGACTGGGACGGGGCGATAAACGAGTAGTACTGGGTAGAAGTGTGCCTCAGAAGCTGTGAAACCCTGGAGACGGACCCTTTTAACGAAGATATTCTTTTATTACGCTGAGTTATTACGCTTTTATTACGCTGAGTTATTTAAGGATAAAATCAATTGAGGAGGTAAGTTTCTAAATAAAGCTGCGGTGCTGCGTCGGTGGGGGTATTACAAGATAATTTGGTTTTATAAACCGAGTTGATAATGTGAATTCGTCAAACGAGGGGCTAACGCTCGAAAAGTACACTTGAGAAACTCTTAACGGTGGCCAAATTAAGTTATGAACTTGGTTCAAAACTCCTGTTCAAGGACAAACTTTGTTAGAGGTTGTAATATATCAATCCCATCCAGCCACTTGAGGCATATTGAAAAAAAAAGAAATATTCAGAACTAGCATTTCCTAAATCACACTCACTTCAGAATCTGACTTCATTAATAACAAGCCAAAAAAAAAAGAAAAAAAAAAACAGACCAAAATTGAAAAAAAAAAAAAAAATCAGTCAGGATGCAGGAATCATATGAAAAAACTTTCTCTATGATACAATGTGACAAAAGACCAATCCAACGCACTCACCTCCAATCAGTTTATTTTCTCCGCATATCTAAAAATATGAGATCATAATAAGAAAGACATGCTTACATTCTAAAATGAGCGTCCCCCCGTTTGGGAGCGTGCAATCTTCTGAGACACTGATATTGTTCATGATCATAGAAAACTTTTATTGTAATTTTCTGGGGCATCTCTTGAAGAAGGGCGCCCGAGGTGTTAAGGTTGTTTCTAACGCGACAGGCTTCATACGCAGACAATCCGATTAAACCGCGTATGCGGGCGTATGCTAAGTTCTGAATGGTCACCTGAGCAGCGGGATGATGCACCTGTTGTGGTCGCCCGGGATTGCCCGCTCGGGATTTACAAGTTCGGGATCGCCCGTTTTGGTCCCTTGTAAGTAATTAATTTTTCAGGAGTCTCTTTAATCGTGTAATAAATCTAGTATTGGACCAGGAGTAGTGTCAGGATGGTCAAGTATCGGCCCCTTTAGTCTTTTTGGAGCTGTTGTCTTTATCATGACACTACGCTTGGTTGATAATGCGCATATATCATGACTGTTTCCTAAAGCAAGAAGGTACTAAGATTATGAAGTCGGGCTTAAAATTCCACTGTTTTCCTAATCAAGTATCTATTAACATATTTACTTTCCATTTTGAGCTCCTGGTCGGCATGGAACGGAGAAACCTTTAAACCCCAAAGCTCATGTACGGTTAAACTGAACGAGGACTTTCGAATTAATCGCGGAGGTAATATTTTAGCGCGAGGCATTTGTCTACTGTCGTCATAAGCGTGCACAATAGGACTGGAATATGAGGTACAATCGCGCATATCGATTTTTTTTTAACTGGCTTGATCCCCTGCAGTGTAAGCGAAGAAATGCTTTTGCCTAAGAGGGCCTGCTTGTAGGCTAGAAGAAATGTGGAAAGCAAAAAGAAAGGTGCATTTTTTTTTTTGGATGTGTGGTTGTCACGCAACGTTGCTTCAAACAATGAAAATGACATTAAAACAAAATTCAATATGCGCGATTGTACCTCGTATTCCAGTCTTATTGTGCACGCTTATGACGTCGGCAGACAAATGCCTCGCTCTAAAATATTTCCTCTGCGATTAATTTGAAAGTCCTCGATCAGTTTAACCGTACATGAGCTTTGAGATTTAAAGGTTTCTCCGTTCCATGTCTTCCATGCCGACCAGGAGCTCAAAATGAAAAATAAATATGTTAAAAGATACTCGATTAGTAAAACAGTGGAATTTTAAGCCTGACTTCACAATCTTAGTACCTTCTTGCTTTAGGAAACAGTTATGATATATGCACGTTATTAACCAAGCCGTAGTGTCATGAGAAAGACAACAGCTCCAAAGAGCGCAAAAATACAAAGTACATAACTACGGCTCTATTCTTTTCACGGGTACACAGAATGTCATCTCCTTCGCTTTTGATCGCAAATTCTTAACCCACACGATCCGATCGAAAGGGGCAGTAAAAGTAACATACTAAAACGTTGTAAGATTCGGTTACCTTTTGCAAGTCTGGCATTGTTACAAACTACTCTTCTTTTATTTTATACCCACCATGTCAGCTATTGATTAACACCAACAAGGCGGTCGTCAAACTCTTCACAATCAGAAATGTTCACTGAATTTCTACTGTAAGGTTCTTTCAAACTTCTTCATAGTATCAGATGCTTGTTTAGAAATGTTAAGCGATTCCAAAATTTTATTTTTTTGTTTCTTAGGAGGACAAATTTTCCAAGCTTGTTCAAACTGCAAAATAACTTGGTCGTCAACACTTAGATCAGAAGCGATTTCTATTCATAAATTACCTTCCAGAACTGCTTGATTTCCACTCCCGTCGCTTTGGATGGATAAGCAATGAACTTCTGGGCTATTTCAAGCCATTTTTTGAAAAAACTGTTTTGGTCTTTCCCGCAGAAGTCAATGGTGGTCTCAAAGTAGTATAGAAGTGCCATGGCGCCGTCAGTAAACTTGTGACCTCCTCTGGAACAAAGTTGTAACTGTAAGCACTTGCTAAAGGTCGTGAGTGGTCTGGCAACCTTGCGTCCGAGCGGCGTGTCCGATCAACGCTTTTCAATTATCTGCATTCGATGATTATGCTAAAACGTACTTTTTGCTCCAAACAATTTACATAAACAACTGTATGTACTGTAAAAGTGGACCATTCATCGTAATGCATTTCGGCAACGCTTAAAGCTGAGTATTATTAAGTTTCTCTCGGAACTTGCGTGAATGGTCGTACTTTTAACTTTAGCTCGCCACCCGAACGGTGTTCTCATGGATACGATATTGAGTTTTTTATACTGAGTTTTCATGTATTTTTTTTTATTTATCATTTAATGGTTCACCACTTGTCAACAGTTGAATGCACAAGAGGGCGGTTTTGAAAAATCGCACTCAAGCCTTTCATGCAAAAATTCCAGCATGTCCATCGGCTGACTAGCTTTTTTTTTTATTCTAAACAGAGCTAAAAGCTGAAATGGGGCTAACAAAAAGCTTAAAACGAACTGCACTGGAAACAAAATGTTAAGTTTTACCAAGTAATCAAATGGATTTTCATTGCAATTTGAAATGAATAAGGCATGATCATAAGTGGATCAAAACTTGCATGGTTTGCAGCTTAAGACAATAAGAGCTGAGATTTTTCCAGGTGAACGACACCTTCCCCGAACCATCCTGCATACAGCTTGATAGTTACCTTAGCCGCCGGCTCATGAAAAGCGCATTTTTAATCGAGGTAACTCAGGGAAGTCTGGGCCTATCATCGATCCCATGCTTAACTTGCCATTTGCGTATCGTGGTAGGTACTAAATCACGGAGCAATATTGCAAAGTAAACACTCGATCGCAAAAACCTTGACACCTGAAAAATATGATTCATAAACAATGAGATCCAAAGGCTTTATGGGAAACGCTCGCGCAGTTACATAATAAATAATAAATGCTTTATTTTTCCTTATATTCCTGGTGCTCATCCTTTCAAATGATTATAAATTTTATTCACGTGCAAATGATGGTTGAGTACCACGCCTCGTTTTGAAAAAGAGGCCAAAGGTAATTCGGGAACGACCTTTAGGGTTACAGTCGAACCTCGATTATCCGGACCACTGGGGACTGGCCCGAATAGTCCGGATAATCGAAAATATGAATATTAATGAGTCAACAATGAATACATTTGTAAACCGTAACATTTAGTCGAGAATCATGCAAGAATGAACCACAATCACAAGCCATTTCTGACTACAACTTACTGCCGTGCGTATTAGGCGCGTTTAAGATCACTCGGGCAATAACCTAGCCCAAAATTGTCTTTTGATGCGAAACGAATTCAGATCTGACTGGGTTTTTGGCTCAGACGGTATTTAAAACCAGGCCTCCATGGAAGGATCTCCGTGAGTCGGGAGTTTGGCGAATTAAAGGAACAACGATTTGAAATATTTCTCTACTAAGTACTGAAAATAGATAAATAATCTGAGAGATGAGATTCATAACCTGGATATTTTACATCATTCTTTTTTTGGTCCTTCACTAGAAGGTCCTACGACGATCTTTCTTTCCTTTAGTTAAAACGGCAACTTCCGAATTACTTTTGGCCTCTTTTTCAAAACGAGGCTTGGTGCTCGGCCATTCTTGTGAAAATGAGTTTAATTTGCATGTGAATGAAAACTTATAATCATATGAAAGGATGAGCACCAGGACTCGTTTTGATAATGAGGTTAAGGGTAATTCGGAAATGGGCTATTCAATCCCAGCTGTTCTAATAGGTGTAATTTTTTTTTATTTAAAGAATAAAAAGGATTGACTCTCTAGTTTTCACAAGTATTTTATATTTTATTTTTAAGTCCTGAAAAAAATCCAGATCTTATTAGTTCGCTACGCATGCCGAGAAATCTAATACGAAATGGCGGGGGAACATGCGCAGTGTGAAAGATTTGCTGACCTTAAATCATGATTGCCGTACCATATCAAACTCACGTGGTACAAAAAGTCTCTTACTGAATTTCGTGACCACGCCCACTTCATCGGCCCACTCAAATCGAGTGCGATTTTTGGATGTTATATCATCTTGCCGACTCTCTGTATTAAAAGTTAACAATGTACCACCGAAATATTGAACTATAATATCATGGCTTTCCATTTTGTGTATTTTCGTACTACAAAGTAAAGTTTTTCCCTCGTCATTTTCACCTTTTCCCGAGCGGGTCCGTCAAAATTAAGAAGGCGTTCGTGGTCAAAACAAGACCGAGCAAGGAGTCTTGGGCGATTTCTCTCTTACGCAAGCGCAAATTGAAAATGTACCGCCAAAATCAAAGAGAGGAACAAATTTCCTTTGTTTTGATATGTAAATTGTCGAACAAGGAGCAGATTGAACCTCGTCAAATGGCTAGTCAAAACAGCCACACCTTCCTCCTTTTGCTCGTTTCCTGTTTTATAAGCGTGAAAGCAGTGGGAGAAGAATCGGGTAGCTCGGAAAGNGGGGTGTATGCTGAGTATTCGTTGCAGAATCGCTTTGATTCTCTTATCTCTCTCTTTGGCTTGTCCGCCATTTTGAAAATTTGCTCAGGAGGGCATCTGGGTTAGCGGCCTCGCCAGGCTGGAACCGACAAAAACAAATGTCCATCGCAGTGGGGAAACAGTTTGATATGCAAAGCTTTATGTGAGAAATGAATAAAATGCGGCTATATGTTTGAAGATAAAGTGGATAGTCAAAATGCCCACGTCTAAATCATTAAAAAACAACGTAAGCAACACTCACAAGAATTCCTACGATCCCCCGATGTACCTAAGTTCGGCCCCGGACGGTATTTTTTTTTACTTCTTAAGGCCTCTCTGACGCTTTAACTCCGCCTGTGTTTACCATTAATGATTATCCATGTCTCACCACGCTGATGTAAGGTAGTGTTTTCAAATTGCCCACGTCAGATCGATGAACGTCTTCTACGACGATCGATCGTCCATTTGAGACATATTTCAAGGCATAGAGAGTCGTTTATGCTCGGCCGAAATAGCTGACAAAATCCCGTATTTCATGTTTTTCCAAGTATTGACCTCTTTGGGGAAACGAGTGCTTGTGTAAGAAAAAAAATAAGTCGAAGGGCTTTGTAACCTAGTTTTTTAGCGGATTTTCGCTGTACTGAAGCTGTTCATCGCATGGAGTGTTGTGCTAATTTTGATTCCGATCTTATGAATTACGCATGAGTAACATAATTCCAGTTAATTACATTTCCTGTTGCTCAATAATATCTTTCAAGTCCTTTGACTTCCAAAACATAGTAATCCTTTAATGTAGAAACGCTAATTTCGATTGAAAAATGTCGGATAGACCCCTATTAGAAGCATTTTTAAGAGAGAATTGAGAATTGAAAGTCTCTCATTAGTATATGCAGTGCCCCCGGCATCAACCGCTGGCTGTCGTCGATTTCGCGATAAAAATCTTCTCTTCGACTTCTTTCATCCAGTCATCAGCTTGTCGAATAGATTTGCATGTGATATGGACTTTATCGCCTATCTTCTTCATGATTGGCAATTCAAATGATATCTGGTCCAGGTCTCCTGGTTTTTCAACACACACGATGGCAAAAACCTGTAAATACCGGATCAGATATTTTAGCCAACAATCCCGCTGCCGTGTAACTTTTACCAGTACACATTTCCAAAGGAAACAAAATTTTATATTAATTAAATGTAAACTAAATAAGCGTAAAAGAGGGAAAAACTTAGTCTCCGCTTTAGCGGGTTGGGCCTGTATTGTGTAGTAAGCCTAATTTACATATGATGCACGATCCTCGCAGTAGTTAGCGCTATTTAAGCAATAGCGAAAATCAGACCTGAAAAAAATCAGGCCTGTACGGGACTCGAACCACTGACCTCTTCATATATTTAATTGTATCTCATTTATCATTTTCACGGGTTTATTGCGAACCAACTTAACGGCCGGCTCCCAGTTGGCTTGTTAGCTCAATTGGTAGAGCGCTGCACTAGTATCGCAGAGGTCAGTGGTTCGAGTCCCGTACAGGCCTGATTTTTTTCAGGTCTGATTTTCGCTATTGCTTAAATAGCGCTATCTACTGCGAGGATCGTGCATCATATGTATCTAACACCGCAGTTCAAAATATATGAACTTCATATATTTCATTGTATCTCATTTATCACTTTCACGGGTTTATTACGAATCAACTTAACGGCCCGCTCCCAGTTGGCTTGTTAGCTCAATTGGTAGAGCGCTGCACTAGTATCGCAGAGGTCAGTGGTTTGAGTCCCGTACAGGCCTGATTTTTTTCAGGTCTGATTTTCGCTATTGCTTAAATAGCGCTATCTACTGCGAGGATCGTGCATCATATGTATCTAATACCGCAGTTCAAAATATATGAACTTCATATATTTCATTGTATCTTAAGCCTAATTTGTGATCAATCGCTGTTCAGTAGAGCAATTTATGCTGTATCATCTGAAACAGCTCTTAAACCCATGCAAAGTTCTGAACCCCAGTTGTAGTCCCTCCTCCTTAAAAATAAAAAAAACAAACAAACAAAATATAAATTAGATAAAATAAAAAACAGCGAGTGGAACTGAGTCTGACTGACATCACCTTTCGTTGTGCCACCACTTTCCACAAGTCCAATATAGTTCCAGATTTCTTCGCTTCCAGAGCAGCTTTTGCTTCATCAATCCAGACTTTGAAGAGCTCTTCTTGTGTCATGCCTAGTAGAAGGAACATAATTCGAAAAACTTAATTTTAATAATGTTATCCTGCGCGTAGACAAGAGGGCCTCTGTCGCTGCGAGTGCCCTAGTTTAAAATCAAGGGAAACCCCATCCTTTTAAACAACCTTTCAAATCAGACTGACGGACGAATGACAATGTTCACTGCCTGATTGCCTGACTGAATGACTGACTTTTTGTAGTTGGAGGTTTTGTGTGCGCTGAATTGATGAGCGGGGAAGACGTGAGAGGCTCGTCAATGGAAGATTTTTGGTGCAGAACGTTTTATCTTTACCTTCATATTCCACTGTAAATGTGAGAAAATAATGTAGACCGCTTTTTGATGGACAATACTCAGGACTGATATTGACATCTTCCTTCAGCCAGTCCCTAACATTGGCGGCAAAATCTTCGTAAGGCCGCAATGGGGTGAAAACAGTAGAAATTCCATTTACCAAATGCTCCCAAGAAGACTCAGCCCAAGAATCCAGTCTTCCTGGCGAATCTACACTGATGACTGTAGAAAAATGACGAAACGAATCGTTCAGAAGAGCGATCTATCAGTAGGTGAAAAAATGGAATTGAATTCCACAGCAAAAAATTAAGCTGGTAAACCAATGGGATACCCATAAGTTAATAAACCGTATTTTCGAGAAGCCTCTACTTTCCTTTTCTCTACCTACTTTTGTCACCTTTCACAGATTACTATGAATGTTTCTTGGCAATTGAAAACTCCATCGATTTACAGTCTTAAATTCTAACCTCCTATCAACTTGTGTTCGCCAGGAATCTGCAACAATAGAGTACAACAAGTGTATGAGACGTTACAGGTAGAGTGCATCACATATTGTGACGTTCGTCAAATAACCCTTACTTTAATATTAAAGACCGTTAAGCGACTTAAACCACACAGTGCAGCATATCCTTAATGCTATAAGCCTTTAATTACACATCTTAGTTTATGCGACTACGAGCTCGACAAAATATCAGTGATATTCGAATTTCATCATATCAGGATATCCGGAAACGCACAACTCGGAGTCCTTCTAATCGAATTAAAGACGCGGTTCGTTTCGTGTGTGCGTGCATGTCACGCTGAACCAAACATCAGAATCTCGCACAGATCCGCTGAACTCGTACATCACTCCGTTATGCCGTTAAGAAAAGACGAACTACAAACAAGCAATCACACACGAAAGAGAGAGCAGGTTAATAGTTGCAACTGACCTTCCAAATCTCTCTGATCTTCCAAATCTCTCCCGTGTGAGAGGACTTGAAAGCATTGTAGAGAGATAAACACGAATCATGATAGTCATCATCAAGCTGCGCAGTAGATTCAAAAAAATAGAGCAATTCCATTACTTCTGTGATGGAATTTCGGTTACAAAGAATACTACTCCGTACAAGTTCTTATGCAGGAATTGGAGCAACAGGAAGTGGTCTCAAATTCGACACTAACACTCAGTGCTGCTGAGCTGCGTGTTGTTGAGAATTTAATCATCACCTCCAGTTTTAACTGTCCGTTTGCTAAATATGCTTAATCTTACTTGCTAATTATTATTTAGGCTAATTGTGATTTTTTTTTTTTATGCCATCGGCTTTTGTCAATCTCGTAATTTTGAATAGGTAGCCTATTCATTCAGCCAAAACGGAAAAAATAGAACAATATTTGTGGTCCGTTCTGAAAACATTTTTGCTTTTTTGTTAATGTTGTTCTCTATGATAGTTGCAGCTCAGATCTTTCCCAAGTCTGAACATATCCTTTTCCATGTATTTGTTCGCTCAGTTCTTGTTTCAGTCATCAAAATCGATCGAAGAGGAAACCATTACTCTATATTAGCCTTTATGAAAAAACTGAGTCAATATACTCGTTCTGGTTGGTCAAAAACCCATTTTCTATTGTAAAGATAAACTCATTACTTTCTTATGACGACAATCGGAAGCTTTTTCTATCGGTTTATCGGGCTATTAGACCACTTGGAAAATTGGTATGAAATGAGCAAAGTTTCTAAATGACGAACGAAGACGAGGCATTTTAAATATTACTGACTCTTCACGTGACTAGTGAGATGCGAGGTGCGGTTTATTTTCCTGGAAACCGATAGAAAGTGATGTCTGCTGCTTGAACATGATTTGATTGCTACACACACCTTTCTTTATTTCTTTTTTTTTTTTAATCTCCACGCCACGTAGAACCGAAAAAATATAGGAACCTTGGTAGTAAGCAGTAAGTTAAAAATAACATTTATATATTATATTATACCAATCGGTTACGAGTGTAATAATGGTGTAATAGTTTATTACATAGAAGTCATGGAATGATAAAAGTCCTTAGATTATTGGTTATCATATAACGCGAACGGAAATTTTGCTTACTGCTTATATTTCTTATCGCACAAAACGTTCGTGCGTGTTATTTGTCAAACATCCGTCCGAGCCTAATTTTTTCAGGTGTCTCTTCTGCTTAACTGCAGCTCACCAGTGAAGGTTATTTCTATACTTGATTTTTAATCCGTCGGTCAGTTATTTCAACTGTCTTATTTTCGTTTTATTTAGAACTCTCTGGTAGGCAAATTGAATTATAAATATTTCTGTCAACTTCTTTGATCCAGTCGTCAGCTTGTCGAATAGACTTTGTCGCCCATCTTCTTCATGATTGGCAATTGAAATGATATCTGGTCCAGATCTCCTGGTTTTTCAACACACATAATGGCAAAAATCTGCAAAATAACAGCAATATCGTTTAGTCGGTTGCGACATACAAAGCTAAACGACGCATGCAAACATAAAAGCAATTTGACACAAATCCACCCGGTTTCTAAAGAAAAAAATACGAGCGAGTTCGTGGATTTAGCGATTTTAAGTGTTCGACAAAACAAGTTGAACCTTCAGTTAAAGGCGGTTTGTGTGTTTTGTTTGCAAGTTAGCAGCCAATGGAAAGCCCTAACCCACCCTCTCTGTCTCAATCCCCGCTTGACAAAATCCACACTGACAGCAAGACAGATTAAATCACCTTTCGTTCTGCCACCACTTTCCACAAGTCCAACACGGTTCCAGACTTTTTTTGCTTCCAGAGCAGCTTTTGCTTCTTCACTCCAGATGCTAAAGAGGTCTTCCTGAGTCATACCTGAAGAAGAATAAGAATTCAGAAAACTACAGACTCAGATCAACTTAAGGCTGAACAACCGAAACCATTCTTTCTATCGCTTCTAGGAACTGGCCTGGTGAATGTTGATTCAATGCAGAAGTGATTGCTATTGTAAAAAAAAATCGAGCTATGGACAGGCCACAACCGTGAAGATAGTCGGAACTCGCTGAATCAGTCCCTGCATTTGGAGAGTTTAATTTCCAGTGTACCGACCGTATGTGGCAGATAAATGGGGGGGGGGGAGGTCCGGGATGGTTCTGGACCCCTCCCCCCCTCCCTCCTCACCATCAGGTCAGAGTAAGACTAAACGACATCCAGGTGTCAGGTGACAATCTTTCATTCTGTAAAAGGACTGACCGGTATGATTACACAACATACGAAGAAATGACCAAAATGCACGAATAGCGAAAGCGTTACTTGGGGGTAGAATATAGTAAGAATCGCACATAGCAAAGGTTTCTCTCTTGAAATGAGGTTTGCGTAAGAGAAGAATCTTGTTGCTCAGATGTTTCGTGAGATCTAAGTACCCCTTTAAGATAATTTCACCGTTACCCTCATATTCCACAGAAAATGTGAGAAAATGGTGCAGGCCAGTTCTTGGTACACACTCTACCAGATCCATATTGGTTTCTTCCCTCAGCCTGTCTCCAACATGAGCAGCAAAATCTTCATGTGTCCTCAAATGGGTAAACACCCTAGAAATATCGATGGAAGCACTTCGAATCCAAGTAGCAGACTTAGAAAATGCATCCAGCTCTCCTGGGGAATCCACACTGACGACTAAAAAGGACATAAGAATTGTTCGGAAACGCAATCAGCATGTGAAAACGTTCATGAGTTTCAAAGAGAAAAAACATTCAAGCAATAAATAAATAGAACCAAAAAATCCCTTTTCAAAGGGAATTCTCGGAAGTAAAAAATTTATCTTTGTAGTGAGCTACGAAACTTCTCAGATAAGCTCTACAGTTTTACTTTGTTTGTCCTCCCGAAACTGGAAAAAAGGGTGAGAAAAGAAAAGAAAGAAGAAAAGGATAAGGAAAAGTTCTTTGTTCTATTCACTCGTCATAAAAGCTTCAAAACTGCAATGAAAGGAGCCAAAATGTAATGAAGATAAAACCTCACTGTCGTTCATCCAGGGAGCTGCTTTATTTTTAATGTGTTAAAAGAACGACAAATATGGAAACAATAACCTGAGAAGAGAAGTCAACGGCTCAGAATTCAAATAAATAGTATCATCAGACCTTCCAGAACTGTTTGATGGTTCCTCTCATTTCTCACTCAATCTTGTCTCAAAGAAAGTTTTAAAGAAATGGCAACAGAAGCAGTCGTAAGCCGTTGAAGAAAATTTCGCTCTAGAATCGAAGAAGTAAAGCAACACCATTACTTCCGTTACTTTGGCCATACGCCGCACGCGATAGGAACAGTAAGTCGACGAAAAGTTACTTGTGCAACGCGTGAAGACGAGTGAGACTGGGTCAAGGATGATGAAAGAAAAGGAAGATACCTGTTGGTTAAGTTAAAAAAAAAGATTTCATATCCCTGGGGTCTATCCACTAAAAATACGACCTCAAAATGTGCTGTTAAAGAACAAACAAGTGGCACACGAGGTGCTTGGAGTCTTACACCAATGGCAGCCACCAATAATGTCAAACCAAGGTGCTGTAAATAACAACACATTAAGTTTCCACCTCGTTCCCTTTACATTTACCAATCTGGTGGTAGGCTTCTCTTTTGTTTTTCTCACTACCTGTTTTCTGTGTAATATAAGCAACAAAAGGGGAGTTACATGTTATTCAGTACAGAAATTGAAGAGTTAAAAGTGGCTCAAGCTTCTTCCCACTTTAATTTTGGTTCAACCTTAAGCTTCATAAGGAGCTATTATTTGATTCCTACTGGGTACCAAGAGTGATGAAGATTTGTTTAAACAAATTAGGAAAAGAGAAAAACTAGAGACACATTAAAAGGCAACCATCACTTTCCCAACAATATGTAAAACTTGTACAAATGAAGTACTGTAACGTAAAGTTACAGTGGTTTGTAAACAAGGACAACCAAGGCTGGGCCAGAGTAAAGATAACCATGATGAAGCCCTCCTCCACTACAAAGATAAAGGTTTTTTACATCTTTATTCAAACAAAACAAATTGATTGAGTAAAACTACAAAGTACAAAAACGTCTACAACCAGCATATACCGGTACAAATTACATGCCTTTTAGCATGAAAGTTTGCGGGAGTGTCATTTTGTACCTTAAAGATCTTTTGCATTTGGCAGGAATTTACATCACCTACACTGTTTAACATGACAGACATTCCTGCTATGAACTAACCTTTTGCCATTTACTTTTCAAGCAGCATGACGTTAAAAAATGGAGGAAACATAACATTATACACTTGATAACAAAGTAAAGTTAAAAACGTATTTATGCACGATCCTCGCAGTAGAGAACACTATTTAACCGCTAGTGAAAATCAGACCTGAAAAAATTCAGGCCTGTACAAGATTTGAACCACTGACCTCTGCAATACTAGTGCAGCACTCTACCAATTGAGCTAACAAGCCAACTGAGAGCAGGTCATCAAATTAAAATCAGGTCTGATTTTAACTAGCGGTTTAATAGTGTTCTCTACTGCGAGGATCGTGCATAAATACGTTTTTAACTTTACTTTGTTTCAAGTGTATAATGTTATGTTTCCTCCATTTCTTTACTGCGAGAATCGTGCACAAATACGTTTCTATAACCGCAGTTCAGATATACAAGTTTTATATATTCGTATAGGTAATCACATGATTTCGAGTGCAATTTGGAATAAATAAGCACGAGCAAATTTTTTCAAAGAATAACAAAATTGCATGAGCCCATAGGGCAAGTGCAATTTGTGGTCTTTGAAAAAGTTTACGAGTGTTTATTTATTCCAAATTGCATGAGAAAAATCATGTGATTATGTATTAATAATAAAGATAAAAAAAATACCAGGTAGCTTATCATAATTAGGCAGAAGAAAAGCGTACGCATCACATGCAAAAATAATTTATTTAAACCCGGCAAGTGACATTGACCTTGACATTGACCAATCATTCTGACCAATCAGAATGTCTGGTTTGTTACTTTCTTTGCACTGAATTAACCCTCTTCTACACTGAATTAACTCTCATCTGCACTGAACTACCTGAAAACTACATTTATCTTAACCAATCAGAACTGAATAATTTTTTCATTTATATTATTAGTTGTGTTAAAGTAAAATTAAGTTGGTTTTGCCAATCAGTGAAAATCCACCTAGTCTGCAAACATAGCAAACCACAAAATGTTTATGTTTATCACATATGAAAATATTCATTTCTTCAAGGCAAGTCTGTAAGTTGTTGTCATCTCATCACAGAAGTTGAAAGAAGTAAAATAAAGGTACTTGTATTCTAAGGAGATAGAGTGAGATCAATGACTTGAATTTCCAGATTACTTCCATTATAATTTCTATCAGCATTAGATATTTTCTTTGGTATAATTTTTTGTGGCGTATCAAATGTCAGGTCAATAACAGTATTTCCTTGGCTGGAGTTACTGTAACAGTCGACAGGAGACTTTTTGATTGACGGGAATGAATCATTTCCTTCTTTGATTCTCCAGAATCCATCAGGAGTAAACTCCACACTCTTCAAATCTTCCGGCACTGATTCTAAAATCCCCTGGATAAATCCATCTATCACTAACTCAGACAGAGGTGTAAGAGTTTTGCAAATCTGAAAAGAGTATGCAAGCTAAATGTTAGCCAACCCAGCAGGCTTATTCTCTGGCAGGCGAGTACTAATTATTCAGATTGAATGATGAAGCCTCCTTATCATATTGTATTTCATATTTTATTTTGCTTAGTCTTATTGTCTAGCGCATTAGATCATATCCACATGTATTTTGTGCTACATAAGTAATAAATTATTACATTGTTATTATTATCATGTTAATGAGGCTAACTGAATATCAGTCCTCTTCTCTGTCTCAAATTTTCAATCACCATTTTGAAATTGAAGAATATTAACTTGGGACACTCTGATGGGGTGGGGTAGGGTTGAGTAAGGAGAATATTAACTTGGGGCACTCTGATGGGGTGGGGTAGGGTTGAGTAGGGTTAGGTACTGGTAGGGTTTTTAAGAGTACACTATTAATTCCATTAGTTGCCCCTCTAAATTGAAACTTGAAATTTGAAGATTAAAATCTTCCTTAGTTGATGCATGAATTATGTTGCCCCAAACTTTTATCCAAATTTTTTTCTACCCTGTGTGAGGTAATCACAATACTGATGCACTAATTGCAGTATCACCACTGTAGAAGTTTCTGATAAATTAAATTTTCCCTGATAAATCCACTAAAAATTTATTTGCTTCACACTCTGAAAATTTTGCCCAATTAATCCAGTAACTTCATCTCAGAATTATAAAACAGCATTCATCTCACCTTAGGTGATAATATGCCTGAATAATCACTATCAAGTTGAGGGTATTTCTACGTTATAATCTAGCTCCTTTTCAAATTATTTTCAAAACCATAATGAAGCAGGTAAAGAATCAAATTCCACATTAACTTACAGGGCATTTCCATTTTTCCACTCGCTTTTCCCACATAAGCTGAAGATATGCTGCTCCATCAAAGCAGCTGATGTGTGCACAGTTCCTTCCACGCACTGGAGTTACCATTTGTGATTGTGTAAGGGGGCATGTCAGTGAGACATCAATTACATCGAGTTTGGCTTCAGTGTGAGAAACTAAGCTCTGCTGTAACCGAGCTTTAGTTTTTGATGCTGGAACAGTACTGCACATCTTGTAGGTATCCAATATCCCGCTAAAACTGAAAAGAAAAGAAGAAAAACACAGAGCATAAAATTTATGTAACCTTACTAAGAGATAAAGGCTGATAGTTTCGAAAGAAACTGTTTGGGGCTGCGTCGGTGGGGGTAACGAAATAATTTGGATATATCAACAAAGTTGAAATGGTAAATTGGCCACCGTAATTATTGAAAAAGCTGATGTTTCGAGCGTTGCTAAGAGAGGTGGGTAGGAGGATGGTTTGGAAAAATCCAATTCGGTATTTGTGAACCCCCACAAATGCCATGAATACGTATATCTAGAATATTCTTGAAAAGCCTTCTGATGGAGTGTATTTGTCTTGTAGAACTTTCTGATGGTGTGACTTTTCTCAGGCTTTCATTTTCATGCTTATGCAGAAAACTTTGAACATCTATTTTAGCTTTCTAATTAATCCTAATAATAATTTTTTCATATTTTTAAAATATCATCCTACTGAAATTACTAGAAAAAGCCTTTCTATTGAAGAATGAGGGAACCATGTTCCCAAAAAAAACCATCAAATTACCAAATCTTACAGTTAAATTGTCATTTTAAGTGTTTTAATTCTTTGATTCTAACGCCATTCTCAGACAAATTGTTGTTAACTTTTTCTAACAAGATTAATGAACTAATTACCTTTAATAGCTACTGGATAGGTTTTGAATGACTGCACGAGGAATCGACGAATTATTAATCAAACTTAAATTTTGTTGTATTTTGAGCTCACAGTCGAGTGGTTTACGTAATAGTCTGGGAAAGTCCCGACATGGCTGCGTATAAACATTGTTCTAACGAACTATTAAATTTACCTCACTGCAGGTTTTGTTTTTTGAGATGTCAGCACGGCTGTTAAATTAGAATGGTTAACCCCACGTTTCACATTAGAAATGGATTGTTGTGAATTTTGGGGATGAACAAGGGGATTGTTTCGCAGACGACCCAGTAGTTCAAAGCAATTACCAAGCAATGTCTCCATTCCATCATTAAACGAGTTCAAACTCGAAGCCAAAGTAACATGATCAGTGTGAACTGAAACGGAAGGCACTGTATCTGTCGATCCATTAACGTATATATGTGTAGAAGACCGAAGCCCCGTTTGTCGGTGATGTATTCTGCGTCGGTGATGATGTCTTCGATGTCTTCGATCAAGTTTATGGCTTTCGTTTGAACGATGTCTGTGTGAGGGAGACTTAGGCGTCCGTGACTCCCGCTCGTTTTCGTGTAGCCGTCGATCACGCCGCTCGTTTGGCATTTTACAAATGTCACTTTAGAGCAGTAGTCTCGTCCAAAGTCAAAAGGTTTCTCTTTAAATCCTTTCAAACAATACAACAGCAATGTTGTTTTCCTTAAAACTCACCCTTTCTCCCGCCTTGATCTCATGATGCAAAAGTCTTCGATCTACTAGTTCCTAGTCTTTAGCGACAGGACAGAGTAGCCGGAACAGAGAAATCAGGGAAACTGGTTCACATTTTGGTAGTTTGCAAGAGAGTACGGCCTTAAGTTGTGTGTTCCCACTACTTTTAGTCATTTGCGGGCTGTTGTAAAGCGCCGCAAAGATACCTTATGCAAAGCTGGAAATCAACTTCATCATTATATTCTATATACAAAGCTAAAAGAATAGGAAAAAAATTATTAAAATGTTTAAACCAAACGTTTTCGGCTGCTTGCCATCATCAGCTCTGATGATGGCAAACAGCCGAAAACGTTTGGTTTAAACATTTTAATTTTTTTCCTGATCTTTTAGCCTTGTATATAGAATATCTTTCATTAAGCAAACATTATGGAAAACTTCATCATTATTTCATGAGTCACCCAGATTTATTTTTTATCCAGCATCGTTCATGTTTAGAACATAAATCCCTAAAGAGTCTTCAACTGTGCGCCAAGTCATGGAAGGTCTTGGTCATGGGAGGGCTTGATAATGACAAGGAAGGAAGGGGCTGATGAATTGAAATAATGTTTGAACGCGATGACGACTTGAAATAATTCACAATCCACCCGGCGACACATGCAAATTATATTTCAAGCTTTTGTAAAGAAGCCTGAATGTAAATCAGGACTTTAACAGGATTTGTATTACTTCAATGTTCTTGCTAGTCACATATAAATAATGGCTGAGAATGAATAAGAGATGGCGCGTGTGTTGATTAAAGCACTCTTTATTTTGAGTGACGTACCCAACAGAAGACTCGCCATCAAATACGAATTTGTACGTGACAAAGAAAGAAAGTGGTCTTTTATTATCCTTTCACAGATCGCCATTATTCAAAATAATTCATAACAAGAAGTGCAATGCGGCTCTCGGATTCGTTTATGGCTTCCTCCTCTGTTCCTTTGTTTCTGACTTTGAATTTCACTTTTTTGAAGGAAACATCAATTGTCCAAAATTAATTAAAGACACATAGTACGTCTTAAAAATTCTATTTCTCTGCTAAACGATCTAGTTTATCATGTGCAACCTTTCAGCTCCCTTGTTATTAAAATCATGTGGTGAACGAAAAGTACTAATACATATATTTTTTAAGATTATTTCATGATAGAAATAAGTGTTGAGAAGCATAATTTAATCGAGATACCAAGCATATCGTATCAGTAAAAAGTCAATCCATAGTTCGCTTTTACCGCAGCAATAACGCAAGTCTTATAGTTCGTAATTTAAGATATCTTCTATAAGAATCTTTCCTCCATCTGATGTAAATAGAATACTGAAAAAAATAGAAAAGAAAGGAAACACAGCATGAAACATGATTAAAACTGCGACTCTGTTTTATAGAAACGCAAACTACCTGACCGCTGCACAAAAGCTTTAGGCAAATTTTTAACGGTACATCCGAGCTGAATTAACATTACCATTTTATTGTATGGTTCCAGGGATTGATAACGACCCTGATGATTTTCAAAAAAAAAAAAAAAATGCTTCATCATGTTACTTCGTCGACTGTATGATAATTTCATGTAATAGCTTCTCACTTAATTATTTTGTTTTCGGCGGCGACCATAAAGTTGGTGTTTATTGTATTACAAACAAATAAAGCAAGCGAGCTATATTGTCAATGCGCTTGATGAATCTGTAGTACATGGTAAAAGTTATTTTGCTGCAATCCAAATGTTAAGTCCTACACACTATTGTCGTTATAGTGAGTTGAGTCCGATGATCGCATATGAGAGGTTTCTTTGTTGTCCAAACACGATCGTGTTTAAGTTTGTTTTCCTCAAAATGTCTTGGTCGAACCTGTGTAATGGAAAAAAACCTTGTTCCCAACACACTTCATTATTCAAACGAAGCCGATCCTCGAGGAGAGTGGAATAGATGATAAAAATTGTTTTTGTCAACGTTTGCTGAAATCCTTGGTCGGTTTTTTACTGTTAGTCGAAATCGATGCTTCTTTTCCTGTATTTTCGCATGTCATCTGTGCATGAGGCATACATGGAATGATTTCCAAGCAACTGCAAGCCTAACACTTTCATCTTTCTGTATATCATGGGTCGAGTTATATTTTGCCGGTCTCTCAGTGCAGTGTCAAGTGAGTCCAGGAGGCGTTTATCTTACAGCTCAGTAACTGACGTTTCTTTTTCGCTTCTCCCTCTATTGTGAACCGTGTAATTAACAGATTTTCCTTGCTGGTTTTTTGTTCGCGAACGAAGATGACAGCAGAGACAACACAGAACTAAAGCAGCCACGACAAAAATGAGAACTCCAAGGAATATTACGATGATCGATATCGATGATAACATTGCGAGCTTGTGAAATGGACGGTGAGTGTGGCTTTGACCGATCGCATGAGAGCTTGGCAATTGTCACAGGAAGGAAAATAATTAATTCGGTCATTTCATCAAAGAACTCACTTTTTTCTGACATTCTTAATAGGATTCGTACAAATAAAAAGTTTACAAAGGAACTTTGAAGCCTTTTGATTGGTCGTTGAAGAGTCACCTCCGGTGGACTTGCAGCTATTAGCTCGGACGATAAGAACAATTTATTGTTGACATTAACATGGCCTCGAAATGTTTAAAATTTGAAAACAGGATTTCAAAAATGACGAACAACGAAAATCCATGAATTTTGTAAGTTTGCCGGGTCTCAAAAGGAAGCTTAACGTTAATCCAAAAAATTCATCATTTCAGTTTACACTCCAATCCTATTTTGGTATTCTTCCTGTCTTTTTATTTTATTTATCTATTTATTCACCTTTTTGAAAGTGAAAGGAAAAAGATATCTCTTTTGGCAGCCGCCTTTTTGATATTTTATCTAATAAAACTTTTTACTGGTTTCGTTTTCGCAGTTTATTCCGGCTAAGCACAAAAATCCGGCTAACTATGGAATTAATTCACTTTATTCGGGCTGTATTGGTCAATCAGACCGTTTCGTGTTTGCTTGCTAAGAATATTTCGTCACCTTTGTTGAAACGAACAACTGGCTATTAAGGACATGTTCGAGCGCATGATTCTGGCCTTCTTTAGTCCATTAGTGTTCTGTGCGTCAGTCTAAACACTGCTCTAAGATTCATTATTACACGGTACAATCCTGATTACCATTTTGTGCCTACAGGTGATTTTAATTTCTTGGAAACCAGCCAAACCTCGTTGATTCGCTAGTTCGACACCTATTAGAGACATCAAAATTACGGACAAACTCATCACACTTGGCCTTCTGACTGAGGCCAAAAAAGGCTGTGTATTTGATGTTTCACACTGATAACCGTGCGATTGGTCGAAGTGAAAATCGAAAACGAAAAACAATACTTTGCGAGGGAAGTTTCTAGCCACATAAAACAGTCCAATTGTTGTCCAATTCTAAAAAAATTCCTGTCATCTAGAATGAAATTAACCTTCAATTGAAGGCTTAATTTTTGGATATGTCATTCGAGTCGCTTACAAACATGAGTAATTTCAATATGTCGGCTTTGTTCTCATTTATCCCCCCCCCCCAAGATGAAATTAACTATTACCATTCTTGAAACACCAAACAAGACGATGCTGTCACGAATTTAATGACAACTTGGACGAAATAATATTCATATATGCACGACAGGTGAATCGGCCTCTGGGGGTTTTTGTATTCAAGATGAAGTTCTCGTAATTGATCAGGCACTTATCGACCGTTTGAGGCCAGTTTAATACCGCCAAGAGTCTTTCACTGACTTGATTTCGATCATAGAAAAAGTTCCGTTTTACTGACTAACCTATTTTATATGAATGAAATTCTGGGTTCAAACCATTCTTGCTTTGATAACTTGGACAAGGAATCTCACCATCAGGTCTGAATAAATGATGTTACAGCATAAAGTTGTATCAAAGGACTTCTGTTGTTTGGTCTGACTTATGGAATAAGACTTTCATATGTGAACACGATTTAGGATGCAATTTGAAAGGAAGTATGGAGTCAGTGAATTTATAGCTAATAAGCACAATTTACGTCTAAATGTTTTGAACACAAAATGTTTTTATTTTGCTTTAAGGAAAGACATAATTTAAATCAACAAAATGCACACGAAACTGCAAATAAACTTGACACACACAGAAAAATGTGTTATGGATATTTCTACCTTACTGCGTTCACAAATAAAGCCTTTGACTTGGTCACAAATAAACTATTTATACTTTTTCAATTAACTCGCAACAGATTAAGATTAACATGAAAACACGTAATCTAAAATTTGTTTCAAAATTAGATGTAGTTGATCGGTTTAAAAGGAAATTACCACACCCTTAAAAATGCTCCCGCGACGTTTAAACCCCTGAAAATCTCATATTATAACATAACCAAAGCAAAGCGCGCGATCTGATTGGTCAATTCAGCGTCTGCCATTTGCCCATGGGTGTACGCTGCTGACGTGAGCAAATGCAAAGACTATTTTTCCGCGCGCGCTTGTTTTTTCTGGTCACGTAAGATTTGTTAAATAAAAGGGAACTCTTTTGCTACAATGTATCAGTGTTATGTTATAAAACAAATGGTAAACATCACAGCGTACACTATTGAGTTATGGATGCACTTGGGAGGTTTGCTAAGCACTCAAGAAGCTAGAGTCGCTCTCGGCTATCGCCTCGCGCGACTCTTACGCTTCTTTCGTGCTTAGCAACCTCCCGCGTGCATCCATAACTCAATAGTGTACGCTGTGGTGTTTACCATTTGTTAATTTGAAAATGTTTTGCTCCT